CCGGGTGTCCTTGGATGCACCTTCTGAGACTCGGCACCCTGTTTCTACGTAACGCCAGCTTTCCAACAGTATCTTGGATGTCTACCTGGCACCAATATTGGTAGAGCTACAGCCTGTTATGAAAGTGGTCTTTACCCTGGTGGAGTTTTGGCTGAGTGCTGAGTTTGACGCCAGATTGCCCGGGCGTCCTTTGCCCCCAGCGTCTGGGACTTGGTGGCCTGGTTCTACCCGATGCCAGCTTTCCAATGGTACCTTAAATGTCTACTCAGCGCCACTATTGGTAGAGATACGGCCTGTTAGTCTGAGCAAAGAGGTACGGACCCTACTGGAATTCTGATGGAGTGCTGACTTTGAAGCCAGATTGCCCAGGCATCCTTTAGGTGCAGGTTCTGAGACTCAGCAGCTGGAGACTACTCGACGCCACCTTTCCAACGGTCCTACAGACGTCTTCCCCACGCCAATATTGGTACAGTTATCTCCTGTCAGGTAAGTGGTTTGGGCCGGATTCATAGTAAAGGGTTGGGGGAGGGGGGGGGGGGACGCTTTCTTTCTGCACCATGTATTATAGAACCGACTTGAACATGATAAGAAATACTATTTATGTGAAAGGTTTCAGAATCTACATATGTCACCTGGGTTACAAGGTCTAATTCTGGTATTGCAGTAGTGCTTGCTTGCGTTCTGACTGTATCCTGAGTTCTGCCACCAAGGCTCGCTTGTGTTCTGAGTTGTGGCACCAAGGCTCGCTTGCGTTCTGAGTTGTGGCACCAAGGCTTGCTTGCGTTCTGACTACGTCCTGAGTTCTGGCGCCAAGGACCGTTGCGTCCTGAGATTCGGTAGCTGCCATCTTGCGTCCTGATTAACGGTTTGCATCCTGTGCATCCTGTGCGTCTGAGGCACAGGACGCACAGGACGCAAGCTTTTATTTTTGCTGATTTAGAAACCTATCTTGGACCAGGAAATGGTAAACACAGTGGGAGCAGTTTTTCCAACACAAACTTAGTAAAACGTTTCTGTGTATATGATCCATGAAGTATCTCCCATGCTATACACCCTTCAGTTGTATATGCAGGTAAGATTGACCATCAGTCAGAGTTTTGACCAGAAGATACTCTACTGGCATGGTTTCTATTGGTACCCACCTATTCTTTCAATCCGAATTTCTCTCATTTGCAGCTGACTCATCCAGGAAAACCAGCTGACTTGGTCCCCACTTGGACAGTTTTACATACCAGAAGTCTCATAAAGATTGGTTTCGTTCTTTTGCATGATGCTGAATAAGCTTCTTCAAGTACTTTTACTACTATAGCCATTGCCCAATTGACCGCTCGCTAACCATGCAATCAAACTCATCCCAGAGAAACCAAACCATCTCCTCTATATACATGCTTGGCTTTATATATAGCGATTCCTTCAAAGCATCTCCCATTGCTGTGGTGATCTTTCTTGGCCGTCCTTGCACTATCACCTTTGGACTTTTTGTTGTCTTCCAGGTTTTGAGATTTTGCCGTACCTCCAGCACTAGCGAATAGGTGACCAGTGGTCGGATAAGGGGCCCGATCTGTTTGGCTGGGATCTTCGCCTCTAACATCACCTCGATTTGAGTGCATTGAAATTTTGTGTAAGGAGGAGGCATTTGGCTGATATTTTGCTCTGTTTGATCATTGGTTGTTTTACACAACTGTGCGGTTTGAGGTTATGCTCTTGGGTGGCTACTAAGGCTTAAAGACATAGAGTTTTGGCCGCCGAGAATCTCATGCGAGTACTAGTACGGTATCATTGAACGAAATTTACCAGGCAATTAGTTTATTGCAAGAATTAACGCGCCTATACGCGCCGTAGGCTCCGACACGTTTCTCGAGAATACAAACAAGAAAAGCGAATGAAAATACCCCCGTCAAAGGTGTTCAACCCGCACAATAAAGCCTCCTAATCGCACATGGTGAGTGCACAGAAGTGGATATCACAGTCGAATAACGCCGCAGCGACGAGTATTACAGTACGGTGGTGGAACTGGTCTCTTCCTAGCCTTTCACCGTCTCTACCCTTCCCCCCTCGCCTCCCCGTGAACCTTATTCCTCGCACCTGCCTTTCCAATGACCTCCATAAAAAGAATCAGCCCCGTTGTTATCTTATTTCGGCGTACTCGCCGTCCCCGTCTGTTGCAGTTGAGCTTCCATCTGGTCCAGTCGTTTGGACATAGCCTCGATCTTCTCGAAAATCTCGCTAGAAACCGACGCGAATTTTGTACTGAGGCTATTTAAAAGATCGTCGACAACAGCCGTGAGTTCAGCGGGCGCTTCTTCAGAGGCCTGGGGGGCTCTGGTGAGTTAGCTACTGTTTTGGAGTGAGCAAGATGCAGTTGCGGGCTTACACCAGACTTCTCTTGTCCGTTTGAAGGAGTCCCATCCCTGCCCTGGGTGCTCATGGTTGTGGGTAGTGTTTTGGGGGGGGGGGGTTTTGTATGGAGTTGTGGTTGTATGATATGCCCACCGGCTACCCGTACGATACCGGTGTGTAAACCTGTGGTACAGTACTCGGATACTGTACTGTACAGCACTAACTTTACTCGAGTACTAGTACGGTACTCGTACAATGCTCGAATAGTTTGACTGTTGTGTGTGGTCGGGTTCGGTATTGATGGTCTGAGCGTTATGATACTCGAGTAAAGGGGACAACTAGCCTGACCCCGCCCCTTGGGAATACGGGTCCTATACGGTAGCTTATCTGGTCTATCACCCCACCTAACCTATCATACCATCATACCGGTACAGTCCGGTACTCTCCCAGTATATGAGCCCCGACAGCAGTCAGCAACCCACACCCACCACGAAAACCACCCCTCCAAAATCCCGAGTCTTCCAAAGCTCTGGTAGGATAAGCGAATACTCAACCAAATGGTGGGAACCTGGAATATACTCCCCACTCCGAGCGAGTCTCAGTATCTAATTCTGCCTGTTAGGCCTCCGAAGCCCGTCTCTACACCTTCTCCTCCGAGACACTCGAGGGTCTCCGAAAATTCCGCCTGGGCACTTCCCGTGCTTCTAAACCCCAGGCCGTGATCTGTACCTCTCCCCTCGCCCTCTCGCTCCCCCCTACTCCATCTACCACGCTAACCCCCCACAGACATGATCGATAAGGGGACTTTGGAGATCAAACCCAAAGACAGCATGGCAGAAGTTTACACCTCCCTACCCGAGATACCCGATGGCCTCCCCGACCATGCCCCACGCTTCGTCCTTCTCTCCTACCCGGTCACGCTCAATTCCGGTCGACAAGCGACACCGTACGTGCTACTATACTATATGCCCGCCACAGCCAATAATGAACTCAAGATGCTGTATGCTGGGGCAAAAGAGTTGATGAGGAACACCGCTCAAGTGGGTAAGGTACTTGAGGTCGCGGATGAGGAGGATATTCTGGGAGTTGAGGAGATTTTGAAGGAGTGAGTGGGGGTGTAGTGTGGGGTTTTTGGTATGTGTGGTGAGGGGGTATGGTCCGCGTGCTTGTGGAATTATGAACTCGCATTTAGCCCATGCTCCTCCTAGGATGATGATGCAATGTTTTCCCTATATGGCGAGCACCCGGCATGGCGAGCACTCACCATTTATTGACTCACCTTTATTGGGTTGTGTGGTATTAAATGGTAATTCAAGAATTTTTGTAAGCCAGTGCTCGCTGTGCCGGGCACTCGCTATGTAGGGAACGTCTGTGCGTATGTACAATGCGGCAACAGCTATGAAGAGCCAGTATAGCTCTTGGGGAATATCTAAGGGAGAAGGATACATAGGAAGTAGGAAATCACAGATTCTCGAGGGCTCCCTTGGCAAAGTCCCACGCTCCAAGGAATATAGCTCCTCCAACGGAAATCCATATGATCCTTGGTCCAATCCCCCTGAATAACCCTCGAGCACCTTCTTCCTTCACCATATTACGCAGAATCGATAGTGCTGGCTCTCTCTGAAATCCCAAGCAGGTAGCTGTTAGAAGACCCACGGGAATAACAACAATCGTAGAGTGTGTACCTTCTTACCCAACATCAACCTCGTCTTTAGTACGTCCAAAGGCGTTGTTGCCGCTGCCGCCACACACCCGGACAGGCTCCCAAACAGCGCGCTCTCCCCAACATTAACCTTTCCCACCTTCCTCACACTCCTCCATCTCTTCATGGCCTCCCACAAGGGAAACTGAATAACCGTGAACGGAATCTCCCGCATAATCGTGATCCCCCACCCACGGTACAACTCCATCCAAACCCTTCCGGGCCCGCGGTTCGAGGTGAAAATATTCCTCAATGCCGTCCAGGAACTCGAAAACTGCGACGCCTGTGCCCGCTGCTTGACAACTTCCGTGGGCACGCGTACAGTGCACGCGGCTATCTCACCGAGCGAAGCTGCGAGCATGTGGTCTCCTACTGCTACTGCTCCGGCGGTATCTCGTCCGTAGAACTGGCGACTACGGGCAAGGGCGGATTTTGTAGCCTCGTAGGTTACGAAGAAGAGCGCAGCGCCGGGGGCTGAGCCGGCGATTACTGAGCCGACGCCTTTGTACACTCCGCTCCAGCCGCCGTTTGCAAAGAAGCCGCCGGAAGATTGGAGACGAGTTTTCAGGGTGTCGAGAGGGTAGAGGGACAAGTCTACGGCCGTACCGGCGAAGCCGCCGGCCTGGCACCTAGTGAGTAACAACTAAAGTGGAGGTGGAGGGGGGTTGACTTACAATTAGAGAACTAAGGTATGGAGACGCAAGGAAGGATTGGGACGGAGAATTGGACCCCATCTCCGCCGTTAGGAGAGGGGAAGAGTTGCTGTCGTTGTTGCGGTGGCGGCAGGAATTGAGTTATTGAAGTGCGGTGTAAACATGGAGGAAATACCGGTAATGGTGGGGGAGGCTCTGTGGGGGATAACCTATCGATAGTGACTCGGGGCCCTGTGGAGGAACGTTCAACCCCCTCGTGTGATACCTCGGAACAACAACATTCATTGCCAAGAGAACTTGGAGGATATAAAACTCGCTTCATTGGGGCCTACCGCCCAATGGCACGATTCAGTTCCATTTCGCTTACCGAGTACGCTGAATTCCTTCACCAGTTATGGCCTGGGGTTGGGCTTCCGTCGCGCCTGGGTAAGTCACCATTGTCATTCGGAGCTTACTTTACATTACCCCACTAACTTACATACTCAGGCATTGCCCTCAGCGGCGGTGTAGACTCGATGGCGCTCGCATATTTAACCTCACGCCTGTTCTCCTCACATAATAGCCCCCCAAGTGCAATCCATGCATTCATAGTGGACCACAAGGTCCGCCCCGAGAGCACCACTGAAGCGTGCTCTGTTGCACAACTCGCAAAGGAAACCTACGGCTTCACCGCCCACGTTCTGCCCCTAACCTGGGCCCTCTCGCATACCGAGCTTTTGAATGGGCTCGAGACCCGTGCCAGGATTGCACGGTATCAAACACTCGGGAGGGCATGCGTAGAGAATCGGGTGGAGAAGTTACTACTCGCGCACCATGCCGACGATCAGGCTGAGACCGTTCTAATGCGGCTATTGGCTGGGAGTAAAATTCAAGGGCTTGCGGGGATGAGGGCTGCCGCGGGAATTCCGGAGTGTGGAGATATATTTGGGGCGGAGAGGGTGGTTCTTGGGAGGCCACTTTTGGCGGTTGAAAAGGTGGGTTTGGGTGTTATATGGTTTGGTGGGATTGGCTCTTATGTTGTGTGCCTATAGGGAAGGCTGAGAGCTACTTGTTTGGAAAACGAAGTGCACTGGTTTGAAGATAGAACGAACCAAGACGCGACGTTAACCCGCCGGAATGCTGTCCGGAAGCTACTCAGTGCGTCACCGCCGAGGCTACCCCGAGCACTGCAAAGACCCTCATTGGTTGCGCTCGCACGGAGGGCCGAGGCGAGGAATAAGTCCGTAAAAGACCAGGCCCGCATGGTTCTGGAAGAGGACTGCGACATCTCCTTTGACCCCACCACCGGCTCTCTACAACTCCAACTACCACCAAAAATACGCGGCATCCAACCCCATGTCCTTCAAAACCTCCTGGTCCGAGTAGTAGAAACCATAACACCTCTCCCGCGGGCCGAAACTCAAAGCCTTCAAACCCCGCTCAAAAGCATCCTCTCAAATCAGGGAAAGCCATTTACAGCAGCAGGCCTAAAATGGACCTATCTCTCTGACAAAACCTGGTTCTTACAGAGGCAGAATTACACTTCCAAATCTCGCGGCCTTTGTAGAATTGTCTTTATTAGTATTAACCCCGGTTGGACATCCTGGCGCCTCTGGGACGGGCGCTGGTGGGTCAGACTCTTCATCCCAATTCCCTCCCACCCAGCAATTTGTGTCCGGGCAATGGAAGAAAAAGATATAGGGCCCCTAAGGGAGAAAGCTGCGCAAGTAAATATGGATAGGCAGCTTGAGAAGCTGCTGAAGGAGGGATTGAGAGGCGAGATGAGATTTATTATTCCCGCGGTGTATTGTGGTGGGGAGGTTTTGGGATTGCCGAGCGCGGGGCTATGGCTTGGGAGTGGGCCTTCTGAAGAAGGGGTGAAGTGTGAAGTTATGTTTAGGGGGAGAGGTGGCCTGGTATAATGGATTGGTGGGCGGGCCCGTTTGAGGCTTTGCGTGCTGTGGGGGATCGGTTTTCGCCGAGCCCACACCCGAGGGATTCGGGAACAGGGGAGATCATATGTGGGTAGGCGTTACTGTATATATTTCTTCACTTGGAAGAAGTATACCGGCAACCGGATACTGATATATTGGTGGAGCTCGGAGTACAGAGCATGGTCACAAGACGTCACTCGTGAGTGTTTATGATCGATTCCGGATTGGTTGTAAATATCCTTATCGAAGGGCTACTGGCTTAGCGAACTTCCATCTAGAATATGCTCACCACTGATGTTGTACTTAGTGAAATCTCCAGCCTAATAGAATTGCCCTTAGAGTAGACATAAAAAATTCAAAGCCGCTAAAGACAATATTAGCTCCTCTCTGTAGTCTGCACTTTGTGCGCCGTACTGTCAGACGCGTATGCTAGAGCAGGTTACATTTGCGATGTGGCCAACAGGGCCCGACCCGCGGTTTAAGATCCCTTGTATGATATCATGGGGGGGGTTTTTTTTGATTTTTTTTTCTTCAATATTTTGAAGGAAGACCCACATCGGGAACTTTCGGGGATCCCGAAGGTTCGCCGTGGGTTTTCCCCAACTAAAAAATTACAGCGTTCTCCAACCGACACAGTCCATCACCCACATCACTAAGTTGGTGGGCAACATCTCAACCCGACCTTTTCAACACCAAGCATCCCGAGAAAGCGGGGATTATCCATTCTTGGCACCCGCCACTCACCGTTCCCCCACAACCCCCTCCCCCCCGCCAATTCTAAGTTTTTCCGTGAATCTCACTTGAACCCCTCCATTGAGCGACTCCCACTTCGAAAGTCTACCAATCGCGATAGCAACAACAGGAAGAAGACCAGAATGTCTGAGAAAACGGCTGTGATTACTGGGGCGACGGGGCAGTTGGGGAGGCAGTGTGTTAAAGCTTTTGAAGGTGCTGGGTGGAAAACCGTTGGGGCCGGTGAGTTTTGGTGGTGGTGGCTGTGGCGTGATCGCTTGCCCTGTCCGTTGGCGTAGAGTGCTAACGGGTGATTGTTGGGTAGGGTTTTCCAGAGCAAATCCCCCGGCAATTTTGAAGGTGGATTTGGGGAATACGGGGGAGGTTGCCGAGATGTTGGAGGAAATGAAGCACGTTTTTCTTCAGCCATTGATGGTACAAGGAAGCTTACTCTAATGCTATGCAATGTAAATAGGCCGAAGGTGGTGGTTCATTGTGGGAATGCCCCCCTTATCGCATTTACCTGTACGGCGTTCGTCTAATACACAGGCCTCGAGAGTTAGGCGCTGCAGAACGCTTCCCCGACAAATGCAACGCCGATCCCGAGGGCGTCAAACGTCTGAACGTAATTAAGCTCTCAGTCTACTAACATTTGTCCAAAACAGATCATTGATGCGCCCATGCATGAGAAATCTAGGTTCAAGCATCAAACAGCCTCGCCCAGGAATGTGCGAACCGCGATATAGTTCTGATCTATATATCCACGGACTACGTTTTCGACGGGAAACCCGGTGCAGCGCCGTACGAGGCCCACGCCGCCACCAACCCGCCAAACTTCTACGGAGAGACAAAGTTGGCTGGCGAGCAAGCCGTCCTGAGAACGTGGAAGAAGAGCGTGGTGTTCAGGGTTCCGGTGTTGTACGGTGAGGTCGAGGAGAACAAGGAGAGTGCGATTAATGTGCTCCTCGACACGGTTTGGAACAAGGCTGGGAAGGACAGGGTAGAGATGGATCATTGGTCTGTTCGGTATCCCACGTGAGTTACGATGACGATGCGACCACAGAGTCTAAATCCCTGGAATTCCAGATGGGAGGGGCAATTACTGAACTATCCCACAGGAACACGTCTGATGTAGCGCGTGTCCTCAAGGACGTAGCTGGTGAGCATGATGAAACTTCCCCCGCTATTACTTTGACAACCTTGCTGAAAGCAACGTTCTAGAGAGATATACTTCGGCAGACGACATCGACTCCCTTCCTAAGGTCTTGCAGCTCAGCTCCGAGGACCGTATGACAAAGTAATCCCCCTTTTGGGTTCCATACCTCACGATAATGTGCTCACATGTCTGCTTGTCAGATATGAAATCTGCCAAAAGCTCTCCGAAATCGCCGGTCTCTCCATTAACCACATAGTCGGAAACGACAAGAATGACCCCAATGCATCTGGTATGGCTAGTCTTGTCGTTTCTGCTTTATGTCCGATGTAGTGAGGCTAAGCCGGGGGGGACTGCAATCAAAAATACAGTTGTGAGACCCTACGACTGCCATCTATCCACCAAGGCTCTTAAAGACCTTGGCATCTCAGTTGATACCGTCCCTTTCGATGTTTGGTGGTGCGCATACTCCTTCTCACCTGATCGCCCTATCGTCATTACTAGATCTGATAATGTCACTATCACAGGCAGCGTCACTTGCGCGCTTTTAAGCATTGAATCTAGCCAACGAGAGGCCCGAGGTGCGTTCCGGAGGGTAGGAGATTACATCTGGAGCTCTCCGTATAGGGAGTTGAAATGAGATAGCAATATCAACGTGATGCGCTGAGGCTCTCTCCATGCGGCGAGCATATATTGCGTGCTTCGCGAGCGATTCATCTCCCCTCTTCCGAAGAGTAAAAGCTATCTCCACTTGAATAATCAAAGAAAAGATATTCCATCGTGTAGGAACAACCCTCGGTTGTAAGGTGTGCAGTAGTACCGGTATATGACAAACCGATAAGTTAGTGCAAGCTCCCCCAACCGCATTAGGAAGCACCATCGGATGTCACTCGCCTCGCACCAAACGCCTTTACCAACCGCCGGGGAGTACAGTACTAGTACAGTACTTTACTAGTATAAGCACGCACGGGCAGTGCTCGTGATACCCGTAATTTTGAAACCCGAATCGAGCAAAAGGGGCGATAATATGTCGGATACGGTTTCACGAAAGTTAAGCGCGGGTGGGACTTTCGTTAGGCATAAATTGAATAATGTTCTCGTACAGGTACGAGTACGGTTTATCCATAAATACTAGTATACAGTGCCAGTACTTCGTACAATACCGTACTACCGTATACCCCCCCCCCCCCTTCTCACCCACCGCCACCCTTCCGCCACCGCAAAATTGAGGAAGGAATATGTTGCCCTGAAAAATTTATGGGGGAGTATCGGTATATTGAGATTCTTGTGGCTTTTCCTATAATACCATCGGATAATTATAAGAAGCGCGCGAGATTATTTCATGATGACCTCGCGCCGAAGAGGACAATTCCCTTGGGGGTTTTAAACGCTTTCAGTCTTCGCCCGGACACATACACACACCTGTACTGTACTAGTACTGGTACAAGTGCCGTAAACTTGCGGTTGGCTATCGTGTTCGACTACATTGGGGTATCATACCGGTAGGGTAAAAAGCGTCGTATAATACTATTATCCTCGGTTTGAAAGCCCCGTCTGGACTACCGTACAGTACTGTACCTGCCCATTTAACTTACTCGTACACATCCAATCTTGAAACCGGAATACGGGAGACGTGGGTGACCCTTTCAGCCGCGATGAACTTGCCTTCTGCGGTACATACTCATGACTTGGTCCAATGGCTGTGCTTTACTTGTACGGGTACTGTGCTGCCCCCCGGCTAGGGAAAAACAAGTTCCCCATGTTAAGCGCGTAGGGGCGAGTGCATATGCCGGTATCCCGGATTATGCAATCCCACCACCCTCTATCGTTATCGTGTTGTTCGACAGCATGAATTATCGAAACTCGACTTCTGTCTGTGGAACCGGCATGTGTGTTTCGTCAACTCCCCCCTGGATCTTCGTTCTCGCGGTCTCAAGGCGGAATCGATATACGAGTTCGCCCACCCTCTCCCCCCCACCCACACACACTCACCTCATCCACCCAACGAGAGCTATTCTGAGGAATTATTCTCGTTGGTGAGGGATCTGGTGAAGCAGGGCTGTGGAGGAGTTGTAGCTGAGGAAGGGGGGGGGAGTGCCGTAGTACCGTACTAGTACTGTGTAGCAAGGAGGGTACCGTACTGTATCATAGTTGGAAACCATGCTAATGATTGGAACTGGTGAATGTGAAATATTTAAAGATGGTTCACGTCCCCCATTTCAGGACATCTTAAAGTCAACGTCAAGTGGTCAGGATAGTCACTCTTTAGATTTCACTCTTTTTTAATTTCCTCTTAATTTTTAACAGGCTACTCTCTCTCTCTCTTTCTCTAAGTACCCAATCGTTCCCCGGATTGTTCGATAAGTTCGGCACATAATGTTGGGAACGACAGCCCTCCTCACTATCATGTCCACTCTCGCGGGATCATATATACGAACTGCCAGTGCAGTGCCGGCGCCAGCAGCAGCACCCGGGGCTGATGACCTGCTCGAAAACATCTGGGAGGACTTTGTCGAGAAAGGGAAGGATATCATCAGCGGTGACGCCAATAGCGCTTCCATAGGAAGTAAGTCACTACTCACCCTAACTAATACCAATACCAAGCATGCTGCTGGGTCAAAAAAACAAGAAAAAACTAACAAATATAAGCCCTCGATCCAAAACTCCTCCCAAATATCCTCTACTTCGCCGAATTCGCAGCAGCCGCATACTGCGATCCTAACCACGTAGTTGGCACGCAAGTCACCTGCACCGAGGGCGTATGTCCAGAGATAACTGCGAACAACATCACCACGATTCTAGAATTCGCAAAGTCTGTCCTCCCTCCCCCCTCCCTCATTCCCCTACTAACATCCCAAATAGTACCAAGGACGCCGACACAACAGGTCTAGTTGCCCGGGACGACACCACCAAATCCATCGTGTTATCCATCCGCGGCAGTAGCTCGCTGCGCAATTGGTTGGCAAACGTGCAGGTAAAGCTCAAGGATGTTCCCGAGGTATGCCCCGATTGCAAAGTGCATAGCGGGTTCCACGAAGCCATGCAGGAAGCGCTACCGGCCGTGTCGAAAAGCCTGGATGAATTGAGGAGGAGGAATCCAGAGTATACGGTTGTTGCCGTCGGGCACTCGCTCGGTGGGGCTATAGCAACGTTGATGGCAGAGGAGATTAGGAGGGGGGGTGTGGAGGTTGATTTGGTATGTTGTTGAGCAAACCTTGGGATGGCGGAGGTGGTGGTAGTTTTGTTGGCTGATGGGGAGGTGCGATAGTATACATTTGGTGCGCCAAGGGTCGGGAACGAAGCGCTATCGGCTTTCATTTCGAAGTCAGGGACTAACTTTCGCGTTACCCACACTAGTTAGTCCCCACCCTAATCTTCTCCCTTCTTATGTTATGATACGATACTAATATTCCCCCCCCCCCCCCCCAACGATGACCCAGTTCCCCGCCTCCCACCCGCAATCCTCGGATACCAGCACATCTCACCAGAACACTGGATCTCAAAAGACGACACGAATGTCAAAGCTGCCGACATCCAGATCTTCGAGGGCGGAATCAATACCGGTGGTAACACCAACGGACCGATATCTCTGAACATAGCAGCGCACTCGCAATACCTTTTACCAGCGGGGATTTCAACTTGCGCACCTTCTGGTTTCGAGTTTTAGATCAGAGAGTTCCTCTTCCTTCTTCCCTTTCCTCCCTTTATTTCTCTTTTCTCGTCTTTTCCTCTCTTGTTTGCTCGTAAGGTACCGGTAATTGGTTGTTATAGAATAGAATTTATCCCGGGTTTTTCCAATCAGGCTTTGGCGCAATATCTTCACCACAAGGCAGTTCTATGCATTCCTAGTCAATTCCTACTAGTGTTCGAAAAATACGGTTCGACACCGTACCTTACCCACCGATACCACACGGTAGACCGCGGTAAATTACACTATGAAGGTAGAATACTGGGAGACGGCATTTGTGACATTTGAAAATCCTGATATCAGGTAATCTGATTCTCCATCCTGTGAGTTTAACGTACTCAAGTGGCCGGATCGAAATCAGAAGGTGCCTAAGCGAGTTATGCGGTGGGGGCAGGGGGCTTCTGATTTCAATCCGGCCACTTGAGCAGGTTTTCTCGGCAATGAAATCAGGCTTAAGCTCAGAGCTTTTTCATGACGATCGGTCAATGGCACCTGGTATGTTTACGGTAAGTTACTGTACTGTATCGTATCGTATCGAATAGTAACTTACCGTAAACTTACCGTTCGTACCCTAATTCTTACCGAGTGACACTATATGATGGTGGTGACAGAGACCACAGCGCTCGTAATCCATGAATCTCAGCCCCGGGTCCAACAACCCCAAAACGCAAAGGCAAACAGCACTGTGCTCGAGCACTGTACAAGTACGGCAATCTTCGAAGATCGTTCTCTCCCTCCCCTTACAAGTGACCCCTCGGTGTTCCTGGAAGTGTGCATGCGACCAAGTCAATCAATACCTATACCGTGTGCGTACACCGTACGGTACGTAGGTGCTCCAACAACGCTACCGCCAAGAATCACGCACTCATCTAGCTCCGCCTCGTTAATCTCGCTCGGGCATCCCTCCCCTGTCCCGTTCCTTCTACAGGTACATGATACATTCCTTCCCACCCCATGAAGTAGCCCTGTCAAAGCAGCGTACAGTACTCGTACATTTTATTCCGAAACCCTTTCCCTTAATCCACACAGCGCAATTCTAACTTGATACCCTACTAGATATGATAGGCTTTTTTTTTTTGTTCGGAAATTCCAGAAAATGTAAAATGCCACATGTCCTCATTTTTCTTTCGTGCCATGATTGGTATCACGACTACATCAGAGGCCACAACCACAGATTTATTTTTCCTCACACCGCCTAGCGCTCTCCCTTTCTCTCCTGGCCCTGACTTCCCTCAATGCCCGGCTGCCACTGAACAAGGCAACGGGTCCTACGACAGCCATTCCGGCGAGTGTCTGGAAGAGGTTCCACTGGGTGTAGTACATGAAGAAGATGCCCTCCAGCGAAAGCAAGCTGGCGAAGAAAAGTGGATGGGAGATTGGGGCAGCTTTGAGAGCTTTAGGAAGGTGGGACAAGTTCCCTCCAAGAATCGGGAACCACTATTATGTCCGTTAGTTTCGGTTAAGCTGCCCTGCAGCGGGTCAGTGGGAAACTTACAACTACGAAAAGACCGCCGAGTCCGGCCAGCACCGAGAGCAAGAAAACCAGGGTAATAATCTTAGGGGGGCTCTGAGGGTCCGCCCTAAAGACGTGACGGATCTCATCCTTGGCCCTATAGACGACGGTTCCCTCGCCAATGTCCTTCTGCTTCTGTTTCTCGAGGAGGGCTTTTGCGGCCGGGTCAAGCAAGGGTTCGACGTTCCCGATGGTAGCGATCGAGGCAGTAGATTGGCCGAAGGAGCCGAGGACAAGCGATAGGGAAAGTGAAGGGGCAGTAAGTAGAAAGGCCGGGAGATCTTTGTGAGACTACCAAGGAAACAATCCGTTAGGACACGTAAACATCTAAATACCCGTAAATAATGAAATATCATACCAAATCGACCTTAGCTTTCCCAGATAATTCCTTCACATTAAGCGGGAAAAAGGCCTCCACTTTGCTCTCGGGTTCCTGAACCAGAAGGAAGGCCTGGTGAGGGCGGCCAACCTTGGAGTCCTCCTTGACAGTCAACGAGACTTTTAATATATCCTTTGGCCCAAGGTTGATAGCCCCTTTGATTGGTTTGGTGGGGGAGAACCTAGCGAGATGGTTTGTTAGTTGGGGATTATCCCAATTGCCCTCACTAGCTTAAAGTTCCGTTAGGTTGCTTGTTTGTGAGAACCCACTTATAAGCTTCAGCTTTACCTCCTTTCGCGGCGATGACGGCCTGCGCATCTTCAAATGTCCAAGCTCCGGAAGCTGCAGCGGCCAACGACGAGAAGGCAAGGGCGAAAAGGGTCCAGGAGGACATTCCGGAGGAGATTGTAGAACGCATTGAGGAGAATAAGGGATTTGGTTGTGGAAGGCTCAGGACCGGAGCCAAAGGAAACGTGGTGTGTTGAGCGAGTTCACTGCAACGCAGTTCGAGTTACCCGGCCTTGCCGTGCATTTGTCACAATGGCCCGTCCCGTAGTACTGTACCCAAATCTGATATCATACCATTTTCCATGCCGACGATTCCAGCTCTGCAATCGGGATACTTACTCTCATAATTTATAAGGCGCCATATAGTCCCAGTCAAAAATCACGAAATTCTCTTGCCTTTCCACAGACTCCACTACAAGCACTTTCAATGTAGATTCAGGTAAATGTCTATATTACTTGTACAAGTGCCATACGTGATACATTATATAGGGATTCTTAATTACAAGCTCTCTCCAGATAATTCTGGCCCCCTTTCCTCACCGATTACTCCTTTTTGAGTTCTTTCTTCCCCCGAACGCTCCCGAATTCCGCCAAAAATATCTTGAATAATACCCATAAAAATCCAAGCCCAACAATAGTGACGGTGCCAATCTTTATCATCCCTGCATTTTCCAATCCCAACACAGGCACGTCAATGCTGCTCCAGGCACCCTCACTCCTCTCGTGCGGCATCGGGGAGAGATGGTAATACATGACCTGCTCAGGGAACAGGTCCTCCCACCCTAGATGCAACCTGTCAAACGGGTTAACCGCCATCTTTTTCCACTGCTCACTTCCACAAGCCCAGAACACACTCGGCCAAGCGAAATCGACCTTCTTGGTTGTGCCACCGTAGCGAGGCTCCAGGTATCGTAAATGTAATGGCAACTCTAGCTCTATCCCGTTCTCTCCTCCCTTAGCATCTACTTCAACCAAGACCCGGCTCCCCCATTTCTCCCGTGTCCAAACTGGCGCTTCAAGATCTGTTTCCCCAGAAATTGCTCTGATTTGCTTTATGCCTAGTGAGTCGAGGAGCTGTTGATTATCCGATGAGAGCTGGTATTTATCGATGAACAACGCTACAGGAAGGGTGAAGTACGCGTTGAGCGTGCACCCATTGCCGTCGCTCCGCGGCGGTTTCACTGGGCCATGAATAGAGAGCTTGAGCTTAGGGTGTAGGCCCGTCGGAAATGCCGTGGCGAGCCCAAAGGTCGACTCTGAGCGATGATGGCGAGAGGCAAACGAAAACATTGTTGGTTCTAGGAAGCAGTTAGGGAAATGCACGTAATATCACCTTAATGGGATATCACCAAGGCCATTGCTCTCGCCAAGCTCAGCTATGAAGCCGGCCAATGTAAGACCTTCCTCTTCCATTGGAATTATGTTGCCCAAGACCCCGACCTCAACACCAGAGGTTTTCGCACTAACTATCGACGATCCGTCCCATTTGGGGTGCTTTGGGGCGTGCACGCTCGACAATACAAGCGTTTGGGAAATAGCGTCGTACGTCACGTCGATATATTCAGCACTTTCCAATGATTGCACCTCAGAGCGTCGTACAGTATCTTCCTCGGAGAGATGGTTCTGCAAGTACCCGACGAACGTAGAGGCTGAGCGTAATGGGGAGTAGAACTGAAAGCTTCCAGGTATCTCGATAAAGGAGGACCTGAAATCCCGACAACCATTTACACCAAAGACCTTCTCGAGAAGCTGGCAAATGGAGTCTCTGCTCATTTGGCCTTGTCAGTACATAAACACGTAATCCAGAGGACATATTGGCATACGGAGAAGCTCCCTGCTCGGGTGACAAAAGCATATGTAAACCAGCAGGAGTCCTTGAGCTGTACGGATCCATGGATTCGTAAACGTCTCCGCTTGTAAATTTCAAATGAGCCTCCCTGCATGAGCTCAAAACATCCCGGATCTCGGCTGGCAGCTCATGTACGCCAAATGTAACCCGGTCCTCACGCACGGCAGACGGAGGTAGGGCTTTTATTATAAAGGAGTCTTCGTTGAGGGAGAAGTTTTCCGGGAGAGTTCCGTGGGATTCCGAGACGATGAAAGTCGAGCGCTGCTTCATGGTTGTTCTGTAGTGAAATGGATGGGGGAGCAGAACTTGGAGAAGGGCGACAGGACAGACGTCAGGCCCCTTCTAGCCGTTCCAAAAAGAAACCCGTAGGGCGACCGAGCAAACCTAGGAGGCTGGGGATGGATAGGGCTGGGCTTCAGGCTTTGTGGTGGTGAACGAAATTGATCCAAGTTGCAGCGGAAAGTTGACTGTTGGAATGTTAAGGGATCGCAGGGTTACTCGTAGACTATGCATCTTGATACTGTAGGCTACCGCACTTGTCAACACCTCACCCCATCCGAAACCACGAGGATGCCAAGACAGGAAACACCAGACACCAATCGATGGGGGGTAAATTTACTATACAGCACCGGTCACCCGCCTCACCGGTGCATCAAACTCCCAGTGCACAAGCGAAAAGCTCTGTTTATCGGGAGTCGGTGCAAGCAAAACAATCAAAAGGAGGGAACCCTTCTGAGTAGAAATTCCCACTCCTCATCTCCCACTTGGTCGGAGCGATCGGAGGTGTATCATATATTATCACTCGATATTGTTGTCCCGGTACTGTATTCAGTAGACAATGTTCTAAAGGCACTGCGCAGAGGTTTGATGCTATACAAAGACTCTCAGAATCAAATCTAGCTTTTAGACTATACTAGTCCCTCCGTGTGTTACTTCTTAGACACCTCAAACCAGCCGGCACGACACTATAGCGCTAGAGAGGCTATCATACTGTGCCTTGCATGATCTCACTTCCTAGGTTTGAGGGGACTGGGTTGCAGGAAAAAAAGAAAGAAAAGAGAAAAAAAAGCTGGTGCTCACTACAAATGTGCTCTCGTTGTGGGGTCTCTAGCCGCCTGGCTATTCTCGAGACTGGGGTGAGCATCTACTACGAGTTGCTCAGACGCGGGGTAGGCACTACCGGTAGAATGGGTTTGCCTCGTTGGGTGTTGGATTGGCTGTCTACCGGTGCCTTTTTTTTTTGAGGGTCATTATTTACTCTACGGGGTGTTTCCTTATTCTCCCCCAGTGATGGCTGTGGAATTAATCAATCCTGGCATGGAGCAATGGCAATAATGAATTCGTGTTTGTCTAGGCCGTTGAAGAGGACTTCATTTGGCCGCCTCGGCTGTCTTGCTTGTTATGTTCTCACTACGCATGACCGATACGCTAAGGTTGTACCCCTGCTGTTGGGAGGAGTTTCTAAGGCTTGAAAAAAGATCCTCTGTTCAGAGGCTCATGCTATCCTCCCCTTTCCTTTCCATAGGGCCGCTGTGGGGACCTTTACAAGCGACGGACCAAGCGCCTTTTTCCAACCCATCATTTTTGATCACTCGCACGCAAAGAGGTTGATTTGTAGCCGTTTGCCGCCTTGATCACTTGATAGGAGAGTGGATGAGCCACCTAGGGGCCGGCCCTGGTCACAGCGGAATTACACAGGATGAGTCGCCTGATTTGATACCGAAGTGGTCTTAATACCTGTTCACCACCAAAGTGGGAGTGGGGGCAGCTACTCGGATGGAATATAGGCTTGCTAGGAAGGTTAATAGAATTCGTTTATACGGAATATTAATTTATTCCGGTATCATAAATAGGTATGGCTGGGTATAAACATGTAAAACCCTTTAATGGAAACACCAAGACATATGCTGTCTCATAGCGACTAATCCCCCTTACCAATAGCAGCAACTGCTTTAATCTCCCGACCCGCTAGGAACTCTAAGCCTTCACCGCCCTTTTATGGAGGTTAGTATCGAATTTCAGTGAAAGCTAGGGGTGAGGGAACGTACATAACTAACGAGAGGTGAAATTTCAACACCGGACTCTGCTTCCATGCTTACAATAGTGGCACCGGCCGTCTCAGCCCATTTCTTGCCCTGGTTCAAGACGTCCCTGCGGGAAGTATCCGGGTCGTCTTCACCAGTGCCCCTAGCGTTCTTCAGGGGCGAGAATTCGTCCTCGCGTCTGACCTCCAAACAGCCAAACTTGTCTAGAGGGATACGAGGGAAGATGTCAAAGACAAACTGCTCGAGCTTGATGCCATTCGGCTTTTCAGGCTTCTTCTGCTCTCCTGAGTTGGTATCGAGGTAGGGAATCTTCTTGCGGGCAATATGATGCGGCAGTGAAGTGACCCATTCGGGGATGGTTTCTAAGAAGCGGGTGGAGTAGTAGTGGTTGACAATGTTCGCAGCACGGAATTTGAGAATGCCCTTGTTCTTCTCATCTTTTGCTTCGGCGGTCTCGGTGTCAATTTCCGAGTATTCGACGACGTCTGGCCTGCCATTTTTGAGAATGATGAGGCCGACAGACTCGGTAGCATTACGCTTGCGCACTACCTTAGTTGCAAGGTCCACATTTTTGGAGGCGGAGAAGCCGATGAATACAGGATCGGCGACCTTGACGAGGGAGTTGTCGACACAGTAGGCATGGACATGCTTGATTCCTCGAGTTCTTAGGTCGGCGAGAACACCTGATGCGACCAAGGCTTGGTAGATACCGCCGTTTCCGTCGGGAGCGACTGCGATCTATGCACCTATTAGTTATCGGCGCAGGTGATAACCCTTTTTGGCGGCAAACCTTGGACTTGGATTCTAGGATAATCTTTCCCTCGTTGGAAATACAAGGCAGAACACCCTGCTCGAAAAAGGCTACGTTTTCCTTTGACAGGCCAAAAAAGTTATTCTCTTGGAAGAACTTTTCGGTAGGTCCTCTTGTAGGACCACTGGTCATGATGTACCAAGGAACCACAGCCTTCGCGTTTCCTATTTTCTTCGCCCCAAGTTCTTGGACTTTATAGATCCTCTCCGCCTGGAGCTGGAAAAGTGACTTCTTGGAAGGAAGGCCGACATCAAAGCAGCCTTTGGGAGCACTGGAGCCCAACCTCGTTCCCTGGCCACCTGCTGCGTGTTTAATATATTACTGGGGCGATGGATATAATACGGTGATGCCTCACCTGCCATAAGGACAACTGCCACCTCATTTTGGCCAATCAATTGGAGGCCGCTCTCGTACCAGCCATTGATATCAGATGCAGCGCTGTCCATAATGGAAGCCGTGGCATCCTCTGGAAGAGGTTCGACTCTGGGAGTTTCGGTTGGAGGGGGAGGCGAAAGGGCTTCTTCGGTTATAACCTAGTTGAAATTACCGTCAGTACCTAATGAGATTGAAGGGTTGTGCAATGTGCAATCGCAGTTCGCGCACGACATATTAAGATCGGATATATGGAAGCGGTGCAACATCAAAACCCGGAGTTGCAGCGGTAAAAACTTACAGATATCCTTTGAGGATCCATGCTAGATAGTTGCTCGAAGAGAGCTGCCTTCTCAGGTATGCTCAGATCATCGTAGAATGTAAAAACGTGGCCTTGGCCGACACTCTCAAAATTTGCCTTCAAGGCTTTGACAGCTTCCGGGGATGGCTCAGTGGCACTTGAGCCCAGTGAGAGTTTATTGAGGACATTTTCAACGCCTAATTTGACTGCTGCTGCCATGGTATGTGTGACTGATTGAACCGACTTTACGTAGGTGAATCTTTTTTTTTATAGGAGGGATGGATGGTGAATGCCTTTAATGACTGGTGGGAGGGGGAAAGGAAAGAAATAGAAAAAATCAGATCATAGTAGCGGAGGGGAGAAGCCAGATTTATGAGGTAAGATGCACATACCCCTCTCCCTCCAAGGTTTTTTTATTTTGTTTTTTTCTCCCTTCCTCTTTAGTAAGGGACGGGAAGGCAAGACATGACTGACGGACCCCGCAGGACCAACTGAAGTGGCTGAAGGCGCGGCACTTCTAACCCTTCACCAGTTCAAATCTAGTGGGAGACTCTGGACCGGTAGACCAGTGTTTTGGGGGAAGTGCCGGCCCAGTAACAGTCTAAGACCCTGACACGGGTCACAGATTCAATCCTTGCGGTCTGACCATAAGAGGAAAAAAGAGGGTTCGCATGGAGAAGGGAAGGCAGTGATGCTAGCACTGTACTCGTACAGTACTTTAGAGGTGGTACTTGTGCCGGTGGGATAGGCAGTCATGATAGGTCTGCCTGCATGCCACTGCAGGATACAATACACAAGTAGCATTAAAATTCCTCAAGGTTATACCCTACGAGTGCAAGTCTCGTCAATTACCAGTATGTACCCCCCCCCCCATCGGGGCACTTATCTCACTCTTTGCTCGGTAGACCGGATGTCTCAGAGCAAACACAGTGTCACCAGAACCTGCCGCGCTCACTATCTTAGTCAGTGCTTCCAGTCGTCCAGTCGGACTGGCGTCGACGCCAGTCCCACTACTACCCCTGGTAGGATGCTCAAGCGCCAGCTCTTTTTTATGTTTATTTTTTATTTTTATTTCTTAACTTGTTTAGGTACCGGTACTAGTATTTGTCCCATTGCGCAACTTTGCGTGTCCGTAGTCAACGGCCGTCCACCCCGTCCAGGACGGCGCCAAGGCAGTCCGTCCCGTCCAAGGACGGGACAGTCTCGTCCTTCGTCGTCCTCACCCCGTCTTGGAGGGACGGGACGACTGGAAGCACTGATCTTAGTGTACCGGTATGGTAGACTGTGGTATCATACTTGTAATTTCAATAATATTATGATGCATCTTCTCACCATCTTGCAGTGCTGGTTCCCCGAGAAAACGTTGCTTTATGATATGGATGTGAGCTCTGGGAGCTTCAGCCAAGCTTCCGCCACATCTTACCCGGCTTTCAAGCCACACCCAAGAGTCTCCCACCAAGATTCAATACCGGTAAATTACCGTAAATTTACAAGCATCACCGGAGAGCTACTGCAAAGCTCTCCCCCTTTCCTCTGGTTGCCCGGGAGGCACATCTGAGGGCCTCAGAATCTCCAGATAATTCGAGTGATCCTCTCCGCAGGAACGCAGTAAGATTGTACGAGTACGGTACTGTAAGAGTGTTTTCGTCTATCCGTTTCGTACTGTGGTCGTGGGCACGGCTTAGGTAAGTTAAAGTGGATACGTTGTGCTGGGGATATCGAGACGCGTGCCCCAGTGTCGTAGACAAAGAGTACCCTCTTCCGATTTTCAGCTTTAGCTTCTTCCCATGTCGTGCATACTGTAACATTTCTACTCTCTCACCGGCCCCTTTCCTGCTGTGCCTCACAATTCTGGCCCTTTTACCTCGCTGTGGGAATACCGGTGCTGTTTTAGAGAAATGTTTGCGTCGAACGGGGGGTTTCCTGCTCACGGAGGTGTGCCGGTGGATCCCTTAGATTCTGGTATCATGGCTCCCCCACTATTGGAGGCTCCCGCGAGTCAATTGAAGCTATTCTGCTAACAAACAGTCAATCCTAAAGCCGATTATGATCCAATAATCCATCTCAATACTTTATTCTCACACCCTTCTACGTTATCCGCCGTGCCTTCAACCTCCCATGCACTGCACAATCACCTCGATTCGCTAGATAACGAAATCACACAGCTGGTTGTAACCCAATCTACTACAAATGCGGACTCCCTTGCCCGTATCTCCTCCGCAAAGGCAGAGCTAGCCGGTCTCTTGGAGAACGTCGATGCTGTTCGGGAGAGGGCCATCAGGACTGAAGATTCCATTTCTGCCATGACCGCCGACATCAAGAAGCTGGATTCGACGAAACGGAATTTGACATTATCAATGACAGTCCTCAAGAGATTGCAGATGTTGAGTGGGTGCCTCCCGTGATATCCGGTTCGAGGAATAACTTTTGTTGACTCTTGGCACATCATAGCAACGGCTTACGAACAATTGAAGACTCAGTCTAAAAATCGACAATACCGGGAATGCGCTTCGCTCATGTCTGCGGTCCTAGAGCTTATGGCGCATTTCCGGTCATTCCGGTCTATCGATCAGATTGCTACACTCAGTCGAAACGTTGCAGATCTTAGGGCCGAGCTTCTGGAGCAAGTTTGTGAGGATTTCGAGATGGTATTCGTCAAGGGGGAGGTCTCTGCCAGAAAGGGAATGCTGTCTGAGGCGTGCACGGTCATGGATGCACTTGGGGATGGAGCAAGAGCTAGGCTTGTAACCTGGTATTGTAATACACAATTAAGAGAGTACCGTCAAGTCTTTAGGGGTAATGATGAAGCTGGTTCACTCGACAACATATCTCGGAGGTATGCATGGCTCAAGCGGATATTGAAGGTGTACGACGACGAACATACCGGCATATTTCCCCTATCTTGGAAAGTTGATGAGATGTTGGTCAAGAGCTTCTGTGATGGTACTAGGGACGACTTTAAAGGAATATTACAGCGAGCCATGCGGAAGGAAGGCGGAAAGAGTCTAGATGTAAATCTGTTACTTAAATGTCTGCAAGAGACACTGGATTTCGAACATTACCTCGAAAGGAGGTTCAGTGCAGATGTGAGTAGGAAGGATATTATACTAAACAAATTCTCTGTACGTCAATTATTCGGGCTAACGTTTTGAACCAACCAGAGAATGTCAATTGATACCGTGAGCTCAAGAGACGAAAGGCCGTTGATTTTCGGAAAAGCAATATCAGAGGCCTTTGAACCATATCTATCCCTGTGGGTAGATGACCTTGATAGGTAAGTACAACCTATGCTAACCCCATTTTCGAACCCACCCCTGACCTATAGGTTCGTCAAGGCAACTCTCCACTATGATACCAAAGTACCGGATCCAGCCTCTTCGGCTCAGGGACGAAGACTTCACTCCTTCTTCGTCAGTCTTGCCATCCTCAATCGAGCTGTTTCATTTCTACCGTCTCTCATTGGCACAATGCGCCAAGCTCTCCACAGGATCCAAGCTTCTTGATTTATCAATGATATTTGCCAAATATCTCGACCAGTATGCTGAAGCTGTGCTGCTGAACTACTTTTCCCCTATGGAAAAGGCTGGAACATTAGCTGGGGAGGACATCGTGGTTGTGTTGAATACAGCAGACTATGCTCATGCAACAACTCAACAGCTGGAGGACAAGGTTAAGTCGAAAGTCGATCCTGAGTTCTCCTCTAAGGTCGATTTCGAGAAGCAGCAGGACGCCTTTTTGGGTGTTGTGACATCTGCAATCCGATTACTCGTCAGAAAGGTAGAAGTTGCCGCAGAGCCAGCTTGGAGAGAGATGAGGAATACACCTTGGAGTAGGCTAGAGACCGCGGGCGACCAGAGTGGTTATGTCAATGTTTTCATGGGTAGTGTCAAAGAAACTGTTGGGGAAATACTAGCATTGACAGGAAAGGAGACATACCAAAGGGCATTTTGTGATAAGGTTGTTGAAGCTATGGTTTCTGGATTTTTGTTCAGTCTTGTTGCCTGCAGGCCTATTGGCGGTGGTGCAGGAGCTGAGCAGGTCAGTACCTTTCCCATTATCTATCGTGCTCTTTGTGAGCTACATCTTTGGACCATTGAATTGGGCTGACAACTTGCACCTTGAATCTAGATGCTCCTTGATGCATATGTTATGAGGAAAGGATTTGAAGATCTATTAACTCTTAAGGCTGAACCAGGCACTGCGCCCCCAGCAAGGCACGTCTTTTTACATCGCAACAATGATTCAACTCTTTACAATGCACCACTGACCCTCCTTCCTTAGTTATATCAAGCACGTTCAACGCTCCATGTCAAAGATAGACGCCCTCCTAAAAACTCTCCAAGTCCAGTCCTCACCACCAGAATGCCTAGTACAAGCATACCTAATCCACGTCTGTGACAAATCTGACACCAACTTCCGCAAAATCCTAGACCTCAAGGGAATCCGCAGGCAAGACCAAGCTTCATTCGTCGAGCTGTTCCGAGCACACATGGTTACCCACGATAATTTGGTAGAGGCAAATCCGTTTATTTCCGCACTTCTTATTCCGACCGGCAATATCGGCGCTCCAGGCGGGGCTAGTAGCATGGGAGGTGCGAGTGGCAATGGCATGATTGGCAGTAGTAGTGGTGGTGGGCTGGCTGGTGGCGTCGGTGGACTCTCTGGGCCTTCTGGATTAGTACCAGCAAGGTTTGATCCCGCAAGTTTGGGATCCGCAATCATGAATGCCGCTAGAGATGGGGTGGATAGACTACAAACGCCTGTGTCCACATCCTCCGATGGGGGCAATGGTGGACAGAATCAAATTGAGTCTGGAGAGCGAATATTCGAGAGGCATCTTGGAAGGCTATTCAAGCGTGATGGGAGTGGGATTGGAATGAGCACGAGGTTTAGCAGAGACGGGGGCTAGAGCACCCCTCGTCAACGAACCGTCTCCTGCTCGTGTAATATAGTATACCTTAGAACCGAGACGAAGGGCGAGAAGAGCGAAACCTTGATGAATTTTCTCGTTTTCATTCTATACATATATTTACCCCCACAATGATTGGTTACGTCAAGGAATATTCTATCTATCTATTAATCGCTTTCCTGACCGATACCTTGCCATTCCCCTTCCTCATCCATCTCGACATCTTCGCTAGAGCCACCTGCATCTCCACCCTCAATGAGCATCTTCTGATTCGCATCCCTCTTAACAAGCGGGGCAGAAAGTAAGAACTCGAGCGTATAAACATTCTCATCCGCCCTGTGAAAAAAGAATGGAAAACAGCCCAATTAGCAATCCGCCCAGCCATGCAGAACACCACGGTCACGAAGAAAAGGAGAAGGAGCGCTCACAATCTCGCCAACTCATTCCGGATCCTCTGGACACATTTCACAACCTCCCTCATCTCCGTCTCGAACTCGCCCCTCTTCTCCCGAATGTACTTCCCGTGCCGACTAATCACCGCTTCCAACCACAACAGGGCAAACTCCAGGTGCGGTCCTTCCTCCGACATCTCCGTCACGAAGCGTATCAGCTTGCTCAGATATACTAATGGCAAGTCCCTAACTACAAGCTTGATATCCTGTTGCGGTATTGCCTCGTACACTCGGTGGATGAGATACCGTTCATTAAGCCTGAAGGCCATTACCAACGCTTTCAAGTAGTCCTTCTCATCGCGGAGTGTGGAGAGGGTGGTGGCTGGGGTAACGTCAACGTCCAGATCGAAGGGGTCGAATATCACTATGTGATCGAGAGAGTATATTAATAGTCCTTCCGTAGAGGCCGCGGCGAAAGAGCGGCCGGTTGGCGAGAAGGAGAGGCTTGGGACGCGGACTTCCGGACGGGCTTTGCGCACAGACATGTCACCCCGAGAGGCGCCAGGGAGAGATGTATCGATGCGGTCTTCCAGGTCAGAAGCTTCGCCGGCGTCGTCGAGGAGGTCTATTGGCCCTGCTTCCGTGAGCAGTTTCGAATTGAGATATTCCTGGGTACCGTCGATAGAGAGGTTCACTGATACCGTGAACTTCCGGACGAGTGTTCCGGAAGCGATGTCGTAGAGGCAGATGTACTTGCTGTTCCCGGCCGCAAGGATACAAGTTCCGTCGGCGGAGTAATCTATCGTGGTGAAGTGCTTGCTACCAGCAGCGTTCGCAGCGGTAGTTCGGTCTATCGCTCGGCGCCCACCGGAGATGTCTTTGCGGCCGTCGATACCGCTGGTTTGCTCAGCGTTCTCCACGTCCCAGAATGTGATCTGGCCGTCCAGCGTGCTCACCGCGACTCGTCGGGAGTCTGGGCGGAAGGATACGCGCAGGACATCGGATTGGAGTTGGAGGGGCTCGCTAGTCTGGGTTCTTGTGAAGAGGCTCCAGATTCGGACTGTGTTGTCCCAGCTTCCGGATGCGAGGCATCGGCCGTCGGGAGCGAAGCTGAGTGATGCTATGGGCCCCTCGTGGCCAGAGAGTTCCTCAAGTAGTTGTCCAGTTTGTACGTTCCAGATGTGGATGTCGAAGCTATCGAGGCTTCCTGCACACACGATTTCACCGCTAGGGTCGACCGCAAGTGCAGAAAATTGCAATCTGCTAGTCGCTGTGAAGGTTCGAAAGTTGCGGTATCGGATCAGGTCCCAGGCTCGGACACTGCCGTCTAGGGATGCGGTGAACAAGACGTTGCCCCGCTTTGCGAACTCGCAGGCTGTCACACCAGATGTGTGCTCTGTGAATGTTACTATACAGAAGCCTGATGTAGCATCCCAGACCTTGATTTTTCCATCATCTGCGGTCGTGATGATGCGTTGGCCGTCTGGCGAGTATGTTAATGAGTTCATGGAGTCAAAGTGGCCCTGCTGCTTCAGGATGTATGACTCTGACTGCCATTCCCAGACTAGGAGTTGGCCCAGTTTTGACGCTCCGAACGCAAGCCATTCGCCGGTCTTGTTGACTGTGACAAAGTCTATCCCGTGCTGTGAGATACTAGAGGTTTTCCGAGTTAGTTTGATAATTCATGATTGAGTCGCAAGTTCGAGACGAGCCTTAGAGTGTGTATCATATTAAACTCCGGCATCTCAAATAGCCCGAAGATGCCTGAAGAGAACCCCACAACAAATAGATTCGAGTTCTGGTGGAACGTAGCACATTTTACTTTGGCATGGTTTTGTAAAAAGTAGTGTTTCCGAGATATTCTCCATCGCTCGTCTTTTGGTCTTGCCTCCTCATCCTCATCCTCATCATCCTGCCAGTAGCGTGCCCGCCATTTCCACTCAAATAATGCGCCATCCTTGCTGACAGTATATATCTAACCAACAATAACCGCAAAGACATTAGCCAATACACCTCGGCACAGTGCTTACAGTATGGAAGCCATACCGATTCCTGGTCCTTCGAAAAATAAGCCCCAATGACCGAGTTTCTATGCCCTGTCAAATTAGTCGGGACAAACCCCTCCTCCGGGTTCAACGAATACACCTTCGCCGTCAAGTCCTTCGAAGCCGTCAGGAAGAACCTCGAGTCCCCCGACCAAGTGATGTTGTTAATAGAACCGTAATGCCCCGTGTATTCCCTGTGCTTAATAAACGGCGCGAACTCCCTCTCCTCCAAGTACGACGGGGTCCGCCAGACCTCGATTTTGCGCCCCACAGCTACGGCAAAGTGACTTCCGTCCGGCGAGAACTTGACGTCGTAAACGGCCGACCTGAAGTTGAAGTGGTGTAGGACGGTGCGGCGGGAAAAGTTTGTGAGGATTGTTCGCCCGTCTTCGTCAATTGAGAGTAGCAGCGTTCCCTGGGGGGAGAGTGCTATCCGAGCAATGTTCTTGCGGTGCTCGAAGCTGAAAGTGAATGACTTATTGCTAAGGATCCAGGCGTCAACTCCTGCCCCTACAATCCATAAAAAAATGGAATTATGGATCACACTTTACTAAGTCAAAGCAAGTGACCCTATTTCCTACCGGCGATAATAGTGAATTCCCATCTGGAGTAAAAACAAGATTCCCGCGGCAGTAGACTGTCCCCAGAAGATTTGAAAACTATTTAATTTTAGGTCAGAAATGCGTGGAAATTCACGGGGCGACCGGGAATACATGCATTGAATCCGACTTTCATCTTTGATTGGGTTGATAGCGGCGTATTAGTGGACGGTGAAGAATCGGAAGAAGCTTCAGAGGTGTGTTTAGTTTTTTTTTTTGAGGCTCTGTGAAGGGTGCGTCTAAAGGCCGGGTAACGTTGATCCCTAACCCTTATGATGGGTGCGGGAGTTGGACAAGCGCAGAGTGTTGACCTACCGGTATCAGACATGGGGAGTGGGAGGTCCGGAGTGCTTCTCACCTCCTCCCAGTATCCTATATAAGGTGATATCCCAACGTATTCTTAGACTACCAGATTTGGTGTTTCTTCACAAATTTTCCCAAAATAAAGTACACAGAAAAAGGCAGACAATTCCATATCCCCGAGTGATACACCGTGAAAGACCTATCTCTTGCCCGGAACTGGCCTACACCAAGATCTACATGGGATCTCATCAAATATTATGTTTCCACGTGGCTTACTGGCTCTCATTCCCAAGATTGCTCATTAAAGAGTGTATGGTATGTTCTGGTGGAAACAACCAGGAGATAAAATCCGGGACAAGCTTGCCTAACTCCATGAATGCTGTGCTGTAGCCACCTTGATACCGAGTTACGTATTCCCAATAGTGAAAACACCGCTTTAACGCCCTTAGAACGCCTCCCAACATCCCATTAAGCTATATGGCACCGCTTCTCCTTTCTGTCTTATGCCTGAGGTGTGTCATGGAACACCACTAATATGAAGCGGGGGTCTGCAAACAATTGGAACTAGTCAGATATGTTGTGCCCGACTGATATAGGGTAGGATGCATATGACTTACCAGGCACTATTAGCAACTCGTGTCTCTTGGTCCTAACGCGCAATAATTTCAAGTCGTCCTGACACTAATTAGCAGAGCTTCCACCGAAATGGGTATATTCTCAATGCTTACCTGTTCATCCATACCACAGACCATTTCCTCCGCGCTTTTAACAAAGTTCCACACCATCCCAGCATATTCTCCAACCAAACTTTCCGAGTCCCGATGGGCAGCTATAGACCCTGATGACCGAATAATAGCGCCAGAGGAGCGGTCGAGGACAATGAGGGATTGGACAGTACTCTTCTGCGAGATTCGATTCAGAAGCGAGGTGAGGTCGCCCTCGTTAAGCGTTGGAACCGCGGTCGTCATAATTGTGGAGGGGGAAGTAGGGGAGTCGGATGGATGTGTTGAGGAATGGAGGTGCTTTGATCTGAGAGAGTCCTACGTACAAATTAATGGCTTAGGTAATGGGGTCATGTGATGTCCCCCACTCAAGGTTTCTTTGAAGCTCCCCTGCTTGTCCCAACAGGTTTCCCCCAAGCCAGCAGATACCCATATACGCCCTTGTTATCCTAAGTTTATTTACCGCCGGAAATTATTCCAATGGCTTCTCAAGATCCGTTCGATTCTGCCCTGTGAGTTCTTTTTCCGACGTAATTCTAAGCATCTTGCCTTGCTGACCCAGAGGCAGTGACCTTCTCCGCCGTCTTAACCCGAAATACACGGCAAACAATGTCAATGCTCTTATCAATCTTGTCCCAGACTTGACCGAGGACCTTTTGTCATCTGTAGATCAGCCCCTTCAGGTCCAGCGCTGTAAAAAGAGTGGAAGGGACTATCTTCTTTGTGACTACAATCGAGATGGAGATTCCTACAGGTCCCCATGGAGCAACGAATTCGATCCCCCCCTCACGGACGGTACTCTGCCCAGCGAAAGGGTTAGAAGGATTGAGATTGCTGCCAATGATTCCTTTGACGTTTACCGGGAACTGTGGGTCTATTCCGGGATATGATGATAGCTTCTCAAAGCTAACCTGTCGAGCTCCACCACAGGTACTATGAAGGTGGTGTTTCAAGTGTCTACTTCTGGAACCTTGACGACGGGTTTGCTGGTGTAGTTTTGCTCAAAAAATGCATGCACCATTCCTGTTGCCCGGTTTTGGCTCGGGCTAATTTTTGGGCAGCTGTTGCGTCCGACAATGAATCAACTGGCTCCTGGGATTCAATTCACGTTTTTGAAGCTACCGACAGGGCCCGGATCTCGCACTACAAGCTCACTTCTACGGTTATCTTGAATATGATTAATGGAGACGAATCACTAGGGGAGATGGATTTGAGTGGAAACATGACTCGACAAGTCGAGCAAGATATGCCTGTTGAGGATGATTCTTCGCATATTGCTAACATTGGAAAGGTGCGCCCTAACGCCTCAGCTGCAACTTGCTAAGAAGTTGCTGTTAACACGTGAAAATAGTTGGTTGAGGATATGGAACTGAAGATGAGGAACCTACTTCGTAAGCACTTCGCCTCCTATACATAGCTCCTATGGCACTAATGACATCGGTATGAATAGAGGAAGTTTACTTTGGAAAAGCAAAGGATGTAGTTGGTGATTTAAGGAGTAGGATCCCCCCCCTTCATCTGCACAGTATAGATGCTCATGGTTCGAACCCGGCAGGTATTTCATCCTTGACCCAGCAAGAGAAGGACAGGTCCGTGCACCAGGAGATGATTTCTTCCATGAGCAAGCGATAAGCAGGGATATATATATCCCGAAGTGCGAACCGTGGATCGTTTCCCATAGAAATATCCAACAAAATAGCCTCTTTTCACAAAGACGCAATCGAAGCATTGATAACTATTCCGCTCTGAAGAAAAAAACAAACAAACTTGCTTCCATAAGGAGCATACCGCATCGGCTAACGTCTATCAATCCATATATACAACCTGAGTCCTATCACACTTTTTATGATAGGGCGCTCTATCCTTTACCGCCCGGCTAAATTTCAACAGGTATTCGCTGCCAATATTTGCCGCAGCCATTCCCTACCCCAGACAATGCAGAAACGGACCGAGGAAGGGGAGGAAGGGTGGGCTTGTGACTCTATTGTGAGGGTATGTGCCAAGGGAGAATAAATAAGCTTATCGGAAATTTCCATCAAACGGCAAGCCCATGGCTTTGAGTAAAATCTTAGCATCGACGTCATTTCCGGCTGAAGTATGTATAGTAATATGCAGTCCAGGCACCATCTTTGGAGGGTACATATCGTAATTCACTATAACGACCATTGTCAGCCCACCCTACTAACCCCCCAATCCCCCGGTCTCTCAAGGGAAAGAGGGAGAGAACCCACCTTCAATTTCGGGAAACATCGACACAGCCTCCGACGACATCCCAAATGTAATATTCCCACTCGAATCACCCGAGCCACCAGCAACCCCTTTCCAATCCTTAATCCTGGGCAACACGACATCAATCAACTGGGCGAGGAACCTATATGCGCTCCTCCCCTTGACCTGCGCGGTGACGGAGATTGACTTGCCGGCGCGCAACTCCCACATTGCGATATTATCCTTACTCTTGTGCACGCTCGCCCTAACGCCCGTGATGCTCTGCACGATCATGCCAGCCGCATGCAAGTATGCAGAATCCTTCATCGCCTCGCGGACCATAGAGTGCACCGTGATCCCTGTCAGCCGCGGGATATTCCGGAACGTTCGCAGCGCGGGGAGTTGTTGTCGGGTAGGCTTCGGCGGGAGACGCAACGCCGTGAGCTGTCGGTAATCCTTCTCTATGTCGAAAGTTGGGTTCTGTTTGTGCACATATGAGAGGACTTGTAAATCGGGGGCAACTGTGTTCCAGTAGTGATCTTCGAGTCCTGTCATATTTCCTGCTTTTCAGTAACTGTGGGAGATGTGAGATGTGGGGGCGGTGGATTGGTACGTTCTGCGGCGAAAGGTCCCGGCACGAATAATCTGGATGAGGGCGAGGCCGATGGCGGTGGCACATTGGGGGCTAAGCGACCGCGGTAGTACCGTGGTGAGCGGTACTGGTATGCAGCGCGGGTGCGCGATCCCCCCTTCGACGGGGAGGATGCGGAGGTCTTTTCCCTCGGGGGTACCCGGGCCAGGGCGGGCTTTGTGGTGCTGAGTCTGCGCGACTGCTGCTGGAGGGTGTCTAGTGGTAGGAGGAGGTGGTGCTGGTGGGTGTTTGGCGCCCGTAGGATGCTTAGGGGGGTTCGGTGGGCCATTGCCATTTTGTTGCTCCTATGGATTGGCACAGTGATTGGGTTGGTGGGACTCGTTTATGGTGTGGTGGGCTTGAAATGGGATTGAGGTGGGAGAATTTTTGGATTATGTAATGCTCTTGTGGGGCGGGTTTCACGGGAGATCACTCGGGCGATTGGATTTTCGGGCGCTTTCTTTACTTGGTTTGGGATCTGGAAATGGTTGGGAAAGCATCATAGGCTGTATGAGAGATGACACCCTTGCAGCGAATGTAGGAAAAGTGTCGAAAAAAAAAAAAGAGCTAACACTAGCGATCGAGAAATGGTGACAAATACGAGCAAGGTATCATCTTCGTATAACATTACACCACCACTCGGACACCGCCTCGGAAAGCATATATGTGCCGGTTGAGCAGCGTGACAATCGAAAGCCGGATATATCACCCCCTCAACAAGCCTCTATCGTAATTAATAGTTCCTGAAAGTCTCTTGCATTGCCTCCTTCAATTGGAGGTATGTGACCGCCCTGCAACAAGTTTCATACCAATCTACCATCCTGGGCCCGCAGAAACTTGTGCACTAGAGCCCGGTATCAGCACAACCCCCATAAATGCTGTAATGAAGATTAGAAGAGCAGGGTTACCAAAAGAAGCTTCCGATCCACGTCACTCATCTCCGGCTGAAGTCTATCTACCAAAGCCTCGAATTCCAGAAGATACCTGGTAGCATCCGACTTCCCTTCGAATCTCATATTTTTAAGTCTGTCGAGCATGACGTGAGCCGCGGGCGTGTCCGCCGCAAAAGGCCAGACGTCGCCGGAGCCAGGAGATCTCGAGCGGCGCATGCCGGGCCCATGAGTTGCCATGGGCGTTGGAGTAATAGGCAATGGTTTCTCGACGCTTTGAGGGAGCCTTGCCTCTGTTTTGCTGGGCAGTGGAGTGGCGGCTTCCTCCTTAACTATCACCGCATAGCCTTCCTTCTCTTTCTCGCTATCGCCGGGCCCTAGCCTCGGTGTTGGGTGAAGGTTGAAGGCAGTTTTGTAGTCATCCCATAGCTTCTCAACAGGGATTCCACCCGAAATATCCAGCCACAGCTCTGGAGTATATTTAGTATGTTTCATTGCGAGGTTGATTCGCTTAACCGTGTCATTCCCAAATCTCGAGCACAAGTAGTCGAGAAAGTAAGCCGTTGCTTCGTACCTTCCCGTTCATTAATACCCACCTGCTCTATTTACTCCAAGAGATGGCACTTACCCGGCATCCCACCTGTCTCCTTTCCTTGCCCAGTGTGGTGGGCCAAGCCCCGCTTTCATCCTAACAAAGTCGGATATCCCCTCAATTAACCCATCCGGTGCAGTTCCACAGGCATCATACTGCCAGCAATGTACCATCTCATGCCTTATTACTCCTAGAATCTCATTTCGCGCACGGTCGTCGGGAAGTTGACCAATGTAGTCGAGTGAGAAATGTATTTCCTTGTGATCGTTGTCGAGCTCACTACCGGTGGTATTCGCTATCCCATCCATCGACCGGAGAATTAGCGTTATCGAGCGCTGCCTTTATTGGCTATGTCAGTTCACACAAGGTAAGAGAGCATTAAGAGGTTGGAAATATTTAGAACTGGGGAAGTACGTTGTGGGTGCTGTCTCGTGAGTGTACAGCGTCTCCAGAACACCAATCACGGCGTCGTGTAAGAGCCTTTGAGTGTTTGTCGTATTGAAATACTTGGTCGCCCCTTCGTGTGAGACATCTTTGACCGCGAAGAGTAGCCTTGGGATGTGCCACTGCTCATGATGATGGAGGTTGCTGGTAGGAGCCTCAGCTGCTGAGTCGGCAGGCTGCGGGGGAGCAGCGGAGACTTGGGCCAAGGGCGATGGCTGGCGTATGGCTGTAGCTGCCATCAAGGAAGACTGAGGTATTGAAGCTCAAAGAGTAGTGCAGGCCACTCGCAAAATTGTGTGCGTAAATGGGTATTCAGAGTATAGGGGAAGCGGTTGGACAGAATCAGATAGAACCTCCGGATGGCAGGTGGTTGACCTGATGGAGGATAATGTGGCCCAGTTGAAGCTCTGCACAAGGGTCCAAGCCAAGAACTACCGTAGCGCCATCATTGCACACAGCTCAAAGCCGGTTTCCCAGCACAGACCAATGCCAACACGGTTGAGGCACCGAATGGCTGGCTAGAGAGTTAAGTTTCCTCACAGTATGGTTTACGGGTATTATTATTATTATTATTATTATTATTATTATTAACTTATTGGTATTATTATTATTGGTATTTTATAAGACTACGGTAGCTTCCAAGAGGAGCGATGTTGTAATAGACTAACTAGGCTACCGTAACTAGGTATCATAACATTATGGATAGTCAGGGGGTCAAGAGGTTGGACAGATTAAATCCGTAATACCACTTGAGACATCTCCTTGAAGAAACAATCTCCTAACGACTAATCTTTCCCGATACCGACACAAGAAATCTTATATAAATATAACAGAGATATAGTAACAATGCCTTGAGAAAATCTGGACAGTCAACTACTCTAGATCAGGCTCCTCTACCACGAGAGGTAAAACACAGAAATATACCCAAGAACTCGTGAAGGACACAGCATAAAGGGTTGAAAATCTGTTTGACGGAAGGCCGGTAAAGCTATACCATGTATCATAGGAGTGAAAAAATTAAAATTAAAATTAAAAAGGTAATTAAGAATTGCCAGTCTACCTTATATATCTCGAAGCCCAGAGAAACCCCAAGAGCTATGCCTGGGGCGGAAACGAAAGCCAGTGGTGAAGCCAGAAATACAAAGAGAGGGAGAACAACAAAATAAGGAAGAAAAAAAAGCAATTAGGGGAAGGAGGGAACGTAGAAACCCCCAGAACAGACAATGGTAGTAAAATTACAAGGAACTCACTACTTACTATGCTAGTCCATTCAGCCTTTCGTTTTTTTGTTTTTTTGTTTTCTTTTTTTTCTTTCCCGCGGACCGAATACGGACCCCGAAGAAAGTAAATAGATGGAAAAAATGAAGAGGCCTTCTACCTGAAGAACAACCAGGTTAGGAGACTACCGGGGGCCGCTTTTATATTTCCTCCACAAACAAGCTATGGTCACAGCAAGTCAACTTCGGTTTAATTGTAGTGGTAGAATAAGCAATAACGTACCTCAAACTCTCAAATATGACTGGATTTTCGATCCAATGGTTCAAGAAACCACCTGCAAGAATTCTTCTCAAGTGCTGAAGGCGATGAAGCTTCCACCACCTCTCTACCCTCAATAACCCCTTCTTGTGAATTCTAACTGTCATTCTTGAGCCACGAACTCTGTTGTCCTTATCCAGCGCTTCGGAGTAACGTGGGCCCTTCATAGGGTTCTCAACGCTATGTAGGATATCAACAAATGCCGAATGCTGGGTCTTCTTGTTCCTCTTGGAGAGATACTTTTTCGATCCGCTTGAGAGGCCGCGGAGGGTGTGAACCAGATCGTCATGACGAGGGTAGGGTTTGTATTTTTGGACAAAGTTCTTCCCTAGGCCGGATTCTGAGTGGTCTTCAACAACTTCATCATCTTCCGCCTCGGCGTAACTCTTTTCGTAGAGCAAGGCAATATTCTCACCCGCAGCAACCTGGACCAAGATTTCGGAAGAATCCAACTGGTCAACGAGGGACGCCATCGAGCGACGAGTAACCTCTTCAGCATCTTCCAGCTGGGTGGCAAGGTTACCCCACTCCTCCAAGGCAGCAGTAACAGCCCCTGCATCATCACCCGCGCCAATATCATGACCATCGGACTCGACGATCTCCATAAAAAAGTCCATGATAAGCTCTGTCTCGGCAACGGAGGCCCCACCGTAAAATGCCACAGCTCCCAAAGCGTGGATCAAGGCGTTCTTGAGCGGCAGGGATGCATGATCTCTGATAGTGCGCTTGAAATCCGGGGCCAGTCTATCGAAAAGGGTGTCCTCGGGATCCGTGACAATGGTAATCGCCAACGCTGCGGAAAGATTGAATTAGCCCCGACCCAAATGACCATACCTTCAGTAATTCCCGGGAGCTGGGCGAGAGGGTGGTATATCCACTCGTGGAATAACACATACCTTTCGCAGCAAGCAGCGCTTCCTTCTCCGTCTTCCCCTGCTTGAGGCTCCTTACAAAAGCATCGAGGAGTTCAGACTTTTTGGAGAGTATTTCCTCCTTTGCATATTTGGCGGATAGGATACGAATATAGGCTGTCAAAGATTCCTCTCTCCCAACGGAGCTCGACCTTTTGCGTTCGATAATTTGATTTATTCTATCGCCAAGTTCCTCCTGCCAGACGGTTGTGGTCTCATCGAGCTCGACATCGATGGTGGCAAGATCATCAACCGATCCAAGACTGTTTGTTTCGTCAGGGTTAGCTTCGGTTTCCCGCAAAGAGGGATATGGGTCCGACAACAGAAGGCAAACCAGTGCATACCTGAAGGTGGTTTCGTCGCTCAGGGAGCCCTCGTCATCAGTATTGGCCCTGCTGGCGGCTCTAGAGTTGGCACGAGAAGTGCTGCGGGAATTTGCCCTGGAAGAGGCTGCAGAGGACTGGCGGGAGGCAGCTTTGCGAGAGACAGTCTTTCCGCTCCCAAGAGCCTTTCGTCGAAGTTCCGACATCTCGGACGGCGGTAGGGTTGTTAGAAAGGTATGCGGGTTCTATTGTTGGCCGGCAGAAGCGGAGGAGAGGGGGCGGATGACTTTTTTATATGATATTAAATTCTGTGAATTTTTCTTCTCCCAAAGTTTGCTCGTTGCAACTGCCCTGCTGTATGGTGTGGTGGAGGGTGGGTGGGTGTGAGGCGAAACGAAAGGCCGCGGGGGTATGATGCGTACTTCTATGATAGTGCTATATACGTTAGGTTACTCGCGGGGGGGTAAAGGGCATGTACTCATAAGTGGGCAAAGGGAGAAGAAGAGGAGAGAAAACACCTTTTTATTATCACAGCTGTTATATAGCTCCTCCGGATAGATGAAAAATTCTGGCGACGCTCCTCAATAAGTATTTATATCTCCATCACACTGTGACACCGGTGCACAGGGTTTCACATGGCGAAGCTCATCATCGCACTACGATTTCATATCATATCATATCATACGGTGGGGAAATCTGACAGGAACGAGAAAGAAAGGGAGTGGATTGGATGGGCAGGGCAAAGGTCCAGGGCAGGGCTACCGGTATGATGATGATGTCGTCGAACCACGGCCCTGCGCCCCAACCACCAAGACAAGGGGCATCCGCAGTGAGTCGAGTGCCTCGAGGCAGCCAACAGAATCATAATAACTTATGATATGATACGATATCAGCTTTAACGAGCCCTGGCACCGGTACTGTACCCTTCTGCCAGCGGTGGCTATCATACGGTGCTCGAGTACTATCATAGTACGGTATCATACATGCTGTACCATGTCCCCTTCTCAAGAGTGCCAATATGAGCCCTGGTTCCGCAGGGCTGGCGGGCAGTCCGATATCCATGCTTTCCACAGTCGAGTTGTCCTATGATATCTTTCCCACCACTGAATACCTGTCGTACGGAGCATCGTGGAGAGTCAAGATTTAAAGAGCTCTGGCGCTCTCCTGAATTCTCGCATCGAGGAAGCCGCTCCTGGGCCATACAACCGCGTCACTTTGCTGGTTGTATGCAAGCACGGTACGAGCACCGGCTGCGCTGGGACCTGCCCCGCCGTCTCTGGTATACAATGACTGATCACTTATCGCAGCGGTCCCCTATCGGCTAGCTAACTGGTACTGGGCTGCTGGTTAACCTAAATTTCTCGTTAACTTTCTCGCGGGTACAAGTGCCAGGTATGATAAGATGTTCTCGCACCTCCACCGTACCATCCATAGACTACCGTATATCAATCTCCCGCTTTCTCCAGACCTTCTTCACAGCTCCTCTTCCATTCCCATTCTGTGTACATGTAATGCCCCCCTCTCACATCCTCCCACCACCGTAAAATCCACATCATCCATGACTACCACATTAACCCTTTCCATCCTTTCTCCTCTCATTTCTCCTCCCAGAAAAAAAACATAAACAGTATTGGAATCAGTGGTGACCCTTGTGCTCGGGTTCCTCCTTCCTTTGTCCCCACACTTTCTTCCAGCCCGTCCCCTACCTTTATCATCACTTTCCCCTCCCTCAGCAATGGGCTCACCCACTTCCCCAAACATTTCTCCACTCCCAGTTCTGCCAATTGTTTTATCAATTCCATAACCCCCCACATTCTTATACCCTCCCATCACACCCGTGCGCGATGGTGACCCGCTCCTCCCTCCTTCCTCCTTCCCCAGGCCCATTCATAGATAACTTAGTCCTGCAACTGCCTCCATACTGCTCCTGTTCAAATTGCTTCCTATAATACTTCATAGACTACCGCTCATCTCCCACTCCTTCTTATCCCCTTTTTTCCAATCTTCCGCAAACAGACCCCTCCAACCATGTTTGCCAACTTTTTGTTCAGCACCTGTACCGGTACCATACCTGCTCGTGCTGTATTATCCGGGCAAATGCTTATCGCTTCCGATTTTCCCCGTCAATTTAACCCAATCGCTCGCTTATGGTTAAAACGAAACGATAACTTACCATAACTAGGCAAAGCCATGGGCGGGATAACCGTCGAAACGGAGCACCCGCTGTTCCTAAGAAGCACGATATCAGTGCAATTACCGTCCAAAATCAGCTGTCATGCCCGCATTTTATGGACAGGGCACTCGAATGGGCCATGCAGCGCGAGCAAGATTATCGTCCGTACCTCCCCGAGAACACTTCCTCCGGAGCGACAGTTTTCAGCAGCACGACCAATCACTCGCATCGGTTCCCCGCCCGCCCCGGCCAGATTCCCCACAATCAGCTCTAAACGGCAGGCCTTGTCCTTATCTAGATCACCGCTTATTGGCAAACAGTATGATGCCTGATCGTCAATTCAGATCTCTCTCTGCCCCGTGCCTCGAAATCCCCAGCTACCACACATGATACCCCTTCATCTGTCCTCGGGATATATGTATCGCAAAAGACGACGCACCAGCCCGCTTGCCTAATGTTTACATCGCCGCGCGGTCATCCGTGATTCCCTCCCCTAGCTCTTACGCAGCCCTAAACTTTGTTTGCTCCCATACATGGCCCTTCGCACCCTCGCCTTCACCCCTCACCCCTCATCCCTCGCCTTCACCCTTCCCGCACCCCCCTTCCGCCTCTCCCTCCGCCGCCGGTCCACACCCCCCTTCGCTGCCGCTCTCCTCCCCCTCACCTCCGCCCATGCACCTTTTTCTGCTGATATAAAAAACCATCACTGCTTGCCTTGAATATCCTGCCCCCAAATAAACCCTCCAACGTTTGCTCGATTGAACACCCAGCACCCAGCAATGACTATCCCGAGAGATATAGTATCCCCACCCAAAACTGCGGTACCCAGTAGTCCCTCGCCGAGTTCCTTCTTTAATGCTGGGACAAGTCCCTCTTATGGAACCAGCTATTTCCCACCCGCTCCCGAAAAGCAGCTCAAACCTTTCAATACTGGCGACATCAAGATACTTTTATTAGAAGACATCAATCGCACTGCACGTGAATTACTACAGAAGGAAGGATATCAGGTGGAATTTCATACCTCCTCTCTCCAAGATATCGACTTGATTGAAAAGATTCGGTAGGCATCCACGCTCCCCTACATTACTGCTGGACGCTGCCCTTCTCATTAACCTGGATTTGCTAAATGTGCCATCAATATTTCCTAAACAGCGATGTCCACGTTATTGGAATCCGCTCCAAAACCAAACTCACTGCTTCAGTGCTCGATCACGCGGAAAACCTTTTGGCAATTGGATGCTTTTGCATTGGGACAGACCAGGTTGACCTAGAATATGCAGCCAAGCGTGGCGTTACCGTCTTCAATAGCCCTTTCAGCAATTCTCGTTCGGTCGCTGAGCTAGTGATTGCCGAGGTTATCATGCTGGCTCGCAGAATTGGCGATAAATCTATGGAAATGCACTCTGGCACTTGGCAGAAGGGTTCCGCTCGTTGTCGCGAGATTCGTGGAAAAGTTTTAGGAATCATTGGCTATGGTCACATCGGATCTCAATTATCCGTTTTGGCTGAGTCGGTGGGGATGAGTGTCCTCTTCTATGATGTTGTTCCTTTGATGGCAATTGGCAAGGCAAGGCAAGTCAAAAGTTTGTCCGAACTGCTGGTCTCGTCAGATTTTGTCACCCTCCATGTCCCTGAAACACACGAGACTCGCGATCTTATCGGCCGCACGGAGTTAATGGCGATGAAAGAAGGAAGTTATCTGATCAATGCTTCCCGTGGACGTGTAGTTGATCTCCAGGCTTTATGGTACGAGCCTCCTCTTATTATAGACCAACCCGTCCTATCCGACGTGTTAATTGCTAATCTGTGTTTGGAAAATATATATATGTGTAGCGAAGCCATGCGTTCCGGCCACTTGGCTGGTGCTGCTCTTGACGTATTCCCTCGCGAACCCTCTGCCGATGGCCCCTACTTTAATAAGGACCTTGCTCGTTGGGCGACGGAAATTAGAAATCTCCCCAACATTATCCTTACACCTCATATTGGTGGATCGACGGAGGAAGCTCAGGAAGCTATCGGCGCTGAGGTTGGTGAAGCACTACTCGGATATATTAATTTCGGCTGCACTATTGGGGCCGCCAATATGCCTGAAGTGGCTCTCAGGAGCATAACTGTGGCCGAAGAGAGTCACCTCCGCGTTATATTCATCCACCAGAACCGCCCAGGTGTCCTGAGGCAGGTCAACGATATTCTCGGAGATCATAACGTAGATAAGCAAATGTCTGATAGTCGTGGTGATGTGAGTATACGTGCTCAGGAGCCCCTCTTGGCCAGATTGGCATGCAGTCGCTAACGAGTAATATGTTTGGGCCCAATAGATCGCGTATATGATGGCCGATATTAGCAAAGTCGATTCCGCAGAGGCGCAAGCATTGTACACCAAACTGGAGGTCCTAAGTTGTGAGATTCCGAAATTTTTGCCACCGCTCAGGCTATCCCCAAGGTCAACGCGCTAACCCGTATGGTGATTGCAGCTAAAATCATGACCAGAATGCTGTACTAAGAGGCCTCTGAGAGCAGTCGGACCTGGGGAGACCAACCGTGGTTCTACTGCTGCTCTTTTCTCCTGCAAAAAAAAAAGGTGGACATATACCCACCCCGGTTCTCATTGTCGCGATAGCGCCTTGTAGGGGAAGATAGTAAGTTGCAGTCACGATAAATCGAACTCTGATTAGCCCCTACCGATACAATTCACGTGATATCACTCGATGGGGCAAACAAGAAGCGGTATCGGCTCCAATCATGGAGAAGCCATTAACCCGGGAAACTGCGTCTAGACAAATCAGCCAACCAATTTCGCAAGAAAAAAGGCTGCGGCCGTCAAGTGTTATGTTTAGGGCAAAAAGAAACAATCCGCATACGATGTCAAGCTAGCACATCAACTCTCTTTGGGGTGCCCCATAAACTTAAGGTTCGTAAGAATAATCATGCCAAATAATACCGTTCAACCACCCCAAATGACATTACATACATATGCACACCCGTCCATCCACTCGTGCATCCATCTCTCTAACATCCTCCCACCTCACGAATTGCCCACCTGCCTGACCCCCACTAACCCAGGGGGGGGGGGGGGGGGGGTACAATAGAGAAAGAGAAAGAAGAAAAAAATACAACCAACTGCAAACTTTTCTCACTCCAAATAAATCCCGTTCTCAATTGTTTTCCTTTTCTTCTCAAACCTATAGAGAAGTATGACAATGACATTAGGAAGCGAGAGAAAAGAAAGGACCCAAACTCCAATTTTTTGGTCTTTTTTTTTAAAAAAATTTCCTTTTGGTTGGCAGAGAAAAGAGGGGGAAGATGGGAAAGAAAAGAGGCAAAAAGTACATGATTACGATAACCTGACTATTTTCCATTTTTGTTTTTTCACCCAGTCAGTTACTTCAATTCGAACAGAAAAATAAATAGAACAAGACGTGCCTCGCTAGTTTTCACGATGGGAGGAGAAAACAGAAGGGGAAAGAGGGGAGAAAAGAGAAAAGAAAAGAGAAAGAAAAAGGCAGTGGTATAATAAATAGGTAAATGGTGAGAGTAGGCAACTACGACTAATGATAGGGACTTTGTTTTCGCTTTGCAAAAATCATGAAACTTTGTGCGAGGGGAAAAAAAATAAAAAAAAAAGGTTGTACGCGATGAGCAAGAAAAAATGAGGAAGATACGGTTAAGGAAAAATTGAGCATTCGCCCATATAATGAAGTAAACAAAGCAAATGGAAGAGACCAGGGGGAAAAGAGAAAAGAGGAAAGAAAAGAAGGAAAAACTGCAACAATCGCTCAGCAAGGTTATGTGCCAAGATCATCGGTAGGGGCCGTAGTCATAGTCTGGGTTGCCGAAGGTGTCTATTGTGCACGGTCAGCCTTTTGATTGCTTGACGAGGAAACAATTGCAGGTGGAATCTTACCAACGGTGCCCTGTGAACCTTGATGTCTATGTCTTCGGGTGTTCTCCTTGTTGCTATTGCTCGACAATGGACGAGGTCCATTCAACCTGGACTGAATGGAAGGCGATCTGGCGGAAAGGGGGGAAACAAGATCCTATAGAAACAAACAAGTATTAGTGCTGTGAAAATCCGAATTCCTCAAGGGAACTTACTCCGTGACGCCCAGCAGCACCATCGGGGGACAGCTGATCCCGCGACTTTTTCCTGGAGGCGGACGAAACAGAATCAAGCCCCGCCGCTTCTCTCTCACGTGCCCTTCTCTCCTTCCTCTCCCGGCGTGCCGCCTTCTCCTCCTCAGTCCTCTTGGGCTTCTTTCCATTCTCGTCTCTCTCCCGGTGCTTCTTCTTCCTATCAGATCGAGAAGTGATGGAAGGATCGTCACCCGTGGGAGCAGGTGTAATGGGGTCCTCCTTAAGCTTAGGTGGGATGGCTGGTCCCTTAGGCGACTGCTGCTGCTGCTGGAGCTGCTGACGGTGCTGGTCATAGGCATCTTGAGCCAGAGGAGACATCAACTTTCCATTGGAAAATCCACCAGGGCCCAAAGGTGGCAAGGTCGCAAGACTCGAGGTAGACGCATTATTCATGCCGGGCGAATTAGGAAGGACCCCGTTGGCCAAGAGCTGCTGCGCCTGCGCTTCCAACTGGTGGTTGTACGGGATGCGAGGTTGAGGATGGTGCACCTCAAGAGACCTGCGATTAGAGTGATTTATCGGTGCATCAGTATCTCTAGATGAGGGTGGAGGATGAGGAGAGTGCGCCCTCTCTGCTGGTTCCTCCGAGTATGCTGATCCCTGTTGAATGTCCTTGGGGATAGAAGGGTCATAAAGATCAACATCAGACCTAGATTCACCACGACCAGCGCGCCCGAGGATTCCTCTAAATCCCGAAGAGGCGGTAGTCTCTGACCACCTAGATTTATTCTTGGGATTTAGCGAGGAGGAATTGGATTCGCGTTTTTGGTGCTTCTCGGACTTGGTTGGAGTGTTCTCATTGCTGAAAGCCGTTGGCGGGACTCTAACATCGGGAGGTGTCTCGAGAGGAACGGAGCCTCCTCTTGACCGTGGCGGAGTTCGAAGAGCAGTATCTTCCTCTATCGGGGAAATGCGGGTGGATTGGTGTGGTCGCTCGTCTTGGTAAATTCTAGAGCTGCTGGGTTGCTTGGAAGGAGCGCCGCTACAGTATCCCGAATTCCCACCTGAAGAACTTGGGTTGGTATCTTGGCCCTCAGTTACACTCTTCATGGCGCCAAGGGTTCCCATACTCTGACTTTGTAGCAAACTATGCTGATAAAGTTGTTGGCCTCCCTTTAATCCCTCCACTTCTCCCAAAAGAGTCTGTAGCCTGCTCAACTCGGTTAGCGCGGAAACCGATGAACCCTGCGGATTCTGGGAAAGCTTACATCTCTTCGATCCTCTGTAAGTCGTTGGAGCTTCTCATGCTAAGCCCCTTGAGTGCCCTGCGGAAGACATTGCGTCTCTTAGCCGGACCCTCATCCTCGGCATCGTCATCATTCTTGGCATATCGAGGTGCTCTAGGGAGGGATGGTGGTAACGGCCGTGGCCCTTGAATGATCTTCTGAACACTCCTCTCGGTGTTCTGGTCAACCCCATCTATGATAGCATGTTGTTGTGATTCAAGGGTCTTTTTCATGTCTTCAAAAGAGTTTCTCATCTCGGCTGCACTCCGAACAAGGGTGACTAAAATCTCGGTGTCTCGCGCGTTTCGTTGCGCATCGCGAACGGTAAGCTATGGGAGAGATTAGCGGGAGAGAAGGAAAAAAAACATCCACCCGAGCTCAGAAAGAAGGTCTTACGTGGTCCATCAAAGCGACGATGTCCCTCGACTGGATTCTGTCGATACCCCTACCTGTCGAACTGTCATATAGCGGTGAAGGCATTCCGTGAGAATTCCCGCTTGCCATCCTTGCGTGACCGTGATATGAATAGTTGTCGTCCTCAGAGCCGATGCCACGTATCGCCCCCATCCCCATAGACGGATCACCCACATTTTGGACAGGCGTCACAGGGCTAGGCGAGGCCATCCCCGGATTTGCTGCAGAGATGTATCCCTCGTCTTTAAGTGCTGGTGAAGTTGGTGACATGCCCTGACCAACTCGAAGCGATGTGGGTAAGTTGTCATCAGCACCCATCCCACGGTCGCCGCCAAGACGAAGCTCATTGGCCGACTGAGCCGGCGGGTCGAAACGCCAATCTTCGGGCTCATGCCCAGGACCCTGTATTATTGAGGGGTTGGTATCGACTTCTTCATCTTCGGCCATATGCCCATATTCAGGCATCGGATCATCAAACTTTGGCAATGCGCTCGCAGCTAGCGGGGGAAGAGGACTCTGACGGTAGGAAAGGTTAGAGCCAACGTTGGAAGGGGCGTCAAGGACAGACGGTTGAACGGAATCAGCGACTACTGGGGTTGATCTCATAGATGGATTGGCGCCAAGAGAAAACACTTGTTGGCCATCAAATTTCTCCATGTGGCTATCATCAAAATCGTTACCAGTAAAAGTCGCGACATGCCGAGCTTCGATAGAAGTATCGCGCATAGGCTCCTGCAGTGCCTTGGACTGAGCCATCTCCCGCACTTGAGCAAAATAATCATTGACCGCTTGGTTCCCTCCAGAAGTTTCATGGTCACCAGCCTCGCTAATTTCAGACATTTCGCCGCCCTTTCCCTTTCCCTTCCTCCTCTGTTTAGCTAGCTTAGTGCTCTGTGTTGAACTCATAGATAAGAGCGATACAGCCGCATCTCCAGGCGCCAGGGTTGTTGGCGAACCAATACTCCGCCTCGAACCAGATGACGCTGAGCTAATGTCATCCCTGTCATCCTCCTCATCCCCAACCGGTGCAAAGCTAGCGATGCTTGGCCCATTTATGCTCTTCTTGCTAGCCAGGGACCGCCTGCTCGCATTCGACCGGTGGTCACCAAGGCCGGTATGCTCGGAAACAATGCTCGATGCCCTCGAGTGAAGGTTCAACTCGCTAAACACTGGGAACTCTGATTTCGGAGCTAGTGGAGGAGTGTTTCCAGAGGCTGGCATTCCATTCTGGTTCGGATAGGGAAGCCCAGAATTTGCCGAGAGAATAGATGCCCTAGTCTCCGCATACGTCCCCGGGGTATCCAGCCGGTCCGGATGACCCGGCATCTCCAACCTCTCGTGATTGCCATGAGCAGGCACAGCTCCAACGAGAGATACACCCTCCCCATCCTCAGCCGAGTGAACCGATGGGCTCACACCAAATCCGGGCGCCCTCGAGTACGTCTCAGACTTTTGTGAAGGTAAATCAGCGTTTCCGCCCGCAATAACAAGGATTTTGTCAATAAATTGATCGATTACCTCTTGACTGTCGCCCTCCCTGCCGCCGCCAGAAATGACCACACCTTGCCCATTCCCCTGGTCAATATCGGGAGATAGAACAACCATAGGCTTCACATCCGGCATGCTGCGAGTCTTATCGGGTCGTTTCGTGCTCCCCTGTCGATCGAGCGTAGACGTTGGTGAGAGGGATTGTTCAAACTTTGCTTGGTTCTGGGCGCTTTTCAGTTCATTAAGTTGTGGTAGGATCATGCGCTTGATGGCGTCTTCGACAAGTTCAAGGAGCGCTGGATTAGTGACATTCGAAGCGGACCTCTGTCTCTCCGCATCAATAGATGCCTTCCGTTTCTGACGAAGCTTCTCGGAAGTAATCTCGTCAACCTCACGATCCCGGCTCCTGCTACGGCTTCGCATGCGGGGCGCCTTCAACAGATCCGCGTCAGCTTTGCTTCCACTGCGGCTGCGTTGTTTGCCTTGTTTGGGCAGACGCAATTTTTCAAGGCCCTCCATGACACCCTTCTCGATCATCTGCTTCTCCTCCCTGGACATGGACAATCTTTCCTTGCTCAAGCTTCGACTTCTTCTCCGGCCCAACTTGGCAGTTTTCAGCCCTGCCTCTCCAGCCACATCAACTTCCCTACTGACACTTCTACTCCTTCCTTTTTGCCCCGATTTCAACACATCCTTCTGATAGCCCTCAATATGGCTCCGCGCACCATGCCGTCGACGGGTGCGGAAGGAAACTTCGGTTTCCTCCATCTCACGAGGAGAGCTGTAGGTGGACCGGGGACTGCCCGCTTCTCGAATGACGGTGACGTTAAGTGGGTAGTGACTCAAATTAGAATCGTCCGCGCCGGAAGTTTGCGAAGAAACGATTGATGTCTGGTCACCGGAAAGCGATCGGTTGTGATTGGGCTCACCCATAATCATTCTATCCTCCCCAACGTGCGGGGACAGCGATACCCGTTGAGTATGCGATGGCCGGCGATCCTGTCTGCTTCCAGGCCTCGATGCACCATCAGAAATTTGTAGCCCTTGACCGTCAGACGACGCCTTAAAGTTATGGCGCTTCTTTGCAGCCGGAGTGAGTTTGACACGGACACTAGGACGACGACCAGAAGCACTGGCTTTGCCACTCTCAAAGAGTTCTATGAGGACGGAAGCGTTCGTCCCATGCCCAGGGGTGCTGACAGCACTGGTCGCCTCATGGTCCTTCTTCTTCTTCCGGGAGGTTTGTATGGTGACGGGGTGTCCATCCTCTGGAATAGAGTAACTCGTATTCTCCGTCCTTCGGGAAAGATCCGTTGCCGCGTAGCTCCCCTGAGAGCTAACCATCGAAGGCTCAGCGGTATGGCCCATTTTTGTTGAGACGTATCCAGATCAACCGACGGGTACGGTGCAGCCTAGGTGCGAGTGACAAGTCAGAGAAGCAGCGCGAGAAGGGTTGCCATGCGAATTGAGTTGGTACCTTTCTGCCCGGGTAGACACCCACGCTATTCGGCGTTGATTCTAGCGATCGGCTCAACCAAGCCGACCAGGACCGGCGACGAGCAAGGGGTGATCTATCACCCGGGCAAAAGGCTCAGCAAATGCGAGCCAAAGGGGGCTGTGGTTGAAAGGAGAAAGAAAGCGTGTGAGAGAGAGGGCAAATACGGGTATGACAGAGGGGCTAAAGCGACAAGGACGGTGGAATAATTTGACGAAAATAGAGGGAAAGAAACGGGGGGGGGGGGGGGGAAGTGTACGTGGAAGTGTGTGCGGGTGTGGGAGGAGTAGAGAGGGACGGGGCACTGGTAACGAACGACGGAAGGTCCAGGTGACGGTTCGTTGGTTGGAACAAGCAGCCGAATGGGAGGAGGAGCAGAGTAGGAATAAGGAAGCAAGGAAGGTGGTGGTGGGATGAGCGAAGGAAAGAAGGAACGAACAAACCAAGAGAATAGAACAATAATAATAATAATAATAGTAATGGTAATAAGGATAACAATAAGGAAATAAAATAATTGGGGAGAAATACCGGTAGAAAGCGACTCACTCGACTCAAGTTTGTGGTGTGTGATTTTCCAGAGCGCGAATACAGGAGAAGGACGATGGCGGTGATGGCGAGGGCGATGATGATAATGATGATGATGATGATGATGGTGGTGGTGATGGTGATGATGGTGATGATGACGGGGATGGATGATGGATGATGATGATGCTTGTTGTTGATGACTTCCTCTTCGCCTCGCTTCTTGTTCCTTTCACCTTCTCACTGATCGGGATATCGGTCTGTGTGTCGCTGCTGCTGCTGCTGCGTGGGAGTGGTGGTGGTGGTGGTGGTGGTGGTAGTGGTTGTGCTCGCTGCTCCCTGCTGCTTGTGCTTATGCCTCCACTTCCTACAGCTTGCCGCTGCTACAGTGCGAGTACTGTACCGGTACAAGTACTCCTCGCGTTTTTCCCCCAACCCCTGGCACACCTTGCTGGTTGCTGCTTTCTACGACGGAGTTCGTAATTGAGTTACAGCGCCATCGGGAGAGAAGGAAGGAAGAAAAGCAAAGCGATAACCTTCGAATCGAAAAATTGGTGCAAAAAGGATGATGGAGAGGAGTTGTATTGGCTAAGCCGGCCTGGCTGAAAAAGAAGCCGACGGCACAGCGACAAGCAGGGGGAGCGGGCAAGCAAGCAAGCAAAGGAGCAAGCTCCGGGGGTGGAAAGATTCAAAAAAAAATGCGAGGGAAAAAAGGAAAAAAAAAAAATCAAATGGTCGGACCAACAGCAGACAAGGGAAGAATAGAACTCGACACCCCCTCTCACACACCCTTTTCTTCAACAGATGGGGGGGGAGGTTGGAAGGGGAAGTGTGTAAACAAAATGCTCCATAAAGTTAATAGGGTGGCGGTGGTGCAAGGAAAGAGGGTCACCCTCACTCACTCTCCCGCTCGCCTAACTGGCTGAGCTGGGATGGGATGGGCTAGGTTATTGTGTGCTTAGAGCGTGATACGAGTGGACTTACCGACCCTGCTTCCCTTTACCCTCGTCCTTCCCGCTGGGGGCGTGTTTGGCCTGCTGGTGTGCAAAAGCCAGCATGCTATATACGGCTGAGCGAAACTTTTGCAGTGCTGATAGCACCGTAAAGCAAGCTCCGCTCCGGGGCGATCCACCCTTGGCTGTGTCGTATCGTGGTATCACGCTCCTAGGACAACAGCCCCCTTCCAACACCCGCCCCCTCCAAACTTCCCATTCGACATTGGCCGCGCTCCAAAACGGATGCAGTACTAGTACTGTACATAAGGACAGAGTCCCGCCCATTTTACGAGATTTCTCACCTATGGAGCACACCAGCCACACTTTTGTTTCTTCTTCCCCCCGGGGTATGGTACGAGTACGAGTACAAGCACCAGAAACTATGACCCCTACCAGTACAGCATATACTCGCACCGTACAAGTAAATACTCGCAGACCCTGAGTGAGTGAGGGAGGGATGTTCCGATGCCGGCACCATAACCCCATCAACTACCGGTGCGGCTGGCGGTAAGGCTACAAACGTGCACGCACAGGTACGGTACCCCCGGTCCAACTGGTACAAGTACTCGAGTACTGGTATAAAGCGTAACCTACAGCACCCACTGGTACATATCATGTCATATTATACCCGTACCGGTACTCGAGTACGAGTACCGTACTAATGTACTAGTACACTTACAACCCCGGCGCTAACGTGCCGGTACCCTACTCGTACGAACATACGGTGCCGATACCATACTGCACGAGTAGTCTATCATACGTGCTCGAGGATGATACTCTCCTCGTAGAGTACGCTCGAGAAACTCCCTCATCCAGTCATCCATTGATTCATTCACCCGCCTCGCCCCCGACCAACCCACACCCAAAACGCCAATAGCAAATCCCATTAAAAAATAATAAATATAGTAAAAGAATTCAACCCTACCCCGCCGGAAAAAGGGAAAAAGCAAACAAAAGGGTAATAATAATAATAAAAATAAAAAAAAGAGTGATTCAATGAGGGGTGGGAAGCGATGAGTTGTTCTCTGCATCCACTTCGGTTTGCGGAGTGGCCAAGCGGGTGCACGCCAAGAAGTGCACTCGTTCATTCGTCCACGGGTGCCCCAGCACTGTATACCTGTACGAGTACCGCACTCGAGCACCCTGAGTTGCCGGGGCGGTTGGCCGGGGGGGGGGGAGAGCGTTTCTATGGCAATGGGGTTCTGCTCGCAGGTGTCATGGTATGTATGACTGTCTAAATACCGTAAAAACTCAAATAATAGAACCGTGTGCTATGTAGTCGA